TCATCTGAAAAACAGAGTGGATGAAAATACATATTGTCGACATTTTTTTTATTAAGGAGAACTGTGATTTTATCAGTGTAGAGAGCTCCTGGGGAAGAACCTTCTCTGTCTGTGCTGGTCTGTACCTTCTCTACAATGTGGGGTCTAAGAGAGTTGCTGGGGTCATTGAGGTTAAATGGCTTGTTAAGGATCCCACAACCTGTATGTGTCAGAGGTGGGACTTGAACCATAGTCTTCCTGACTCTCAGGCCAACTTTCTGTCTACTATGGCACGCTCCTTACTTACTGTTCCCATGGTGCCACATAATTAAATGTGGGCCCAGAAGTGAATAGGAAGTGGACATCAGACTGGATTGAGTAGGGGAGCTGCTAGCTACTCCCTTTTTTAACACCAGTATTTTCCTGTTGATTTTGTATGATTGCATAAAAACCACAGTCTCAGAAAACTTGAAGTCACAGATGACCTAAAGGGCAATGGAAAAAGACACATGGTGGGTATAAATAGGCTATATCATATCACTTACTTGTATTTGAGAAAGGGTATGAAAAGCACCATCAGAGACATTTATGTCTAGAAAAAGAGGAGGACTGCTCATGTAACAAAAAGAAGAGGTAATAGATGAACAGTTTGACCATTGCACTGTGTCCACACAAATGTTTAAAAACAACAAGGAAAACCTCCTGAGCAATGGGAGTCTATTGGGAATTTTAGGAAAGACATAGTCTCACCAGTTACAAAGGTTTTGATAGGCTGTGGTACATTGATGTAGGGAGTACCCACAATGAGATCATGAATCCATTGAAATACCAAAGTAAAAGGAGAGAATAATAAAAGTGATGTTTATGGGAGAATACTCCAGGCTGCTTACTTGGATGGAGGATAAGGTTGATATTTTCTGAACCTTCATTGCAAAACGGACACGGAGATAAGATACAGGGGACTTCAGACTCTGGAAATTTACAGGAAAACCTCACACTGCAGTAGCAGGACGTCTGATACATTCTTAATTTGTCTTACTGACGTTCTGACCAATAAGGAAGACTTTGTTAGAGCTATAGATATGAAAAGATTCTTGGAAGAAAGTAGCTGTTGTTTTAGAGTATAGTAGAAAAGGAATTGGATTTGGAATCAGGACCTAAGTTTAAATTATGACTTCTGCTTGCTAGCTGTTATGTCCTTGGGCATTTAACCTCTTTGTTTCCTTTATCTGTAAAATGAGGGTGTGACCTCAGTTGTCTCTAGATCCTTTCTACCTCTTAATATATGATTCTGTAATCATATCAGCTAGGATTGGTAGATAGAAATCACAGGACAGATTGCAACTCAGTAATATGGAATAATGTCAAAACAATCAGCAATTTAAAAATGAAATGGTATGCCGTATGAAATAGTGAGCTCACTCTATTCTTAGACACTTACTAGCTGTGTGATCCTGGGCTAATCACTTAAACCTGTTGGCCTCAGTTCCTCATCTGTAAAATGATCTGGAGAAGGACATGGCAAACCACTCCAATATCTATGCCAAGAAAACCCCGAATTGGGTCACAAAGAGTTGGATAGGACTGAAACGACTGAAGAGCAAGAACAGGAACAACTGGATGTGTTTAAGCAGAGGAGCTTCCATGAGATGCTATAGCGGGAATTCCTGCATTAAGTGAGACAGTGGACTACATTACTGCCAAGGTTCCTTCCCACTCATAAGATCCTTTGATTAATTAGCTGTTTTGGAATCAAAGCATATTATGTCAGGTTAACAACTAGTTAAAAAAGATATATACTAGATGGTGACTCATTAGTTTGCTACTTGTTTCCCCCTAAAGCCAGATTAAATGGTCGGTATTTATGGTAACAAGTACAAGTAATAAAATACACAGTTTTTCTAATTTCTATTATTTGTATTTTTCCTAAATATTATTTTCTCCTAAAGAAATGTTTATTTTCTTCAGTTATATTTATGGTGGTTTGGACCTTTATTCTGTCCATGTTTTCTATTCATAAAAATGGGGAATTACTGTTTTGCTAGGATATTACCATTTCTCTCAATACCAGTTTATTTCTTGTTTTGTAAGTTACTCCTAGTAAAAGACTGTGAAATGTTGAAATACTTGTATTGAAAGTCATCACATATGTTTGATGCTATGTATGAATGTGAAACCAGTTATATAAATAAGACGTGGGTCTATCTCTCCTCTAGCTGCTAATACAGTTTTAAAACCATAATCACCGTTCAGTATTCTATTCATTCATTCATCCGTACATTCATTCATATAGTCAGTAGTCCTTCATTCAACTAATGTTTGTTAAGTAATAAAAGTTTGTTGCACAGGATGCTAGAGGGGATACAAAATTGTATGAGAAGATTCCTAGCAGCACTGTTTGTAATAGTCTGGAAAAGCCTGAGAGCAAACTTCACATCCAGATGTTGGGGAATGGTTGAAAGAATTATGGTTTATAAATATAATATCACTGTGTTATAATAAATGGTGAATCTGAAGATATATGGGAGACTTGCAGAATGAAGAAATCCAATAGAATGTGTTCATTGACCATATGTACATAGCACATTAAACAGAAACACAATGCATGTTAAATGCCTAGGATGACTTAGTTACTATCTTGTTAAGATTAATACGCTCAGCTTTTGTTCTCTTTAAACAGTCAGAAAGTAGCAGCACACACTGGGGAGTTTACAATTTTTTTTTTTGCATAGCTTTATTGTTTCAAGGCTTTTGATTTGTACTTTTTTGTAATTGTTTGTATATTTGAATACTTATCATGGCTATGAAGGTATAAACAAGATTAAACAAAAGATATATTTACCAACTCTACCACCTCAAACAGTGCAAGACATAGTCTCATTCTGTGGGAACTTACCATCTGCTAGGGTAGATGTGCATACAGGTATCAATGATACAAGGTATAGGTGCCATATGAGTGTACTGACAGCTAATTAATGGAGCACAGAAGAAAGAGGGATCTCTTCTGGCTTCAAAGGAGAGTAGGGTTTCTGGGTGGTGGGGCGGGAAAGGGCAGTGCCAGTAGAAGAAATGGAACAAGCAAAAGCAGTAAAGTGTAGTAGGTGTTTGGGGGGAACAGTGAGTAAGCCTGATTGGCTAGAAGATCTTTATTGTCAAGTCACATAGCTGGGCAGGCAGCAAGGAGACATTGGAGGGTTTCCAGTAGTGGAATCATGTAGTGATAGTGTGACTTCTAGCATGATGCAGTATTGTGGGGAAAGCACTCAGCTGGGAGGTAGACAAGACCTCAGTTCGAATCCGTAAGTCACTTAATCTCTGTGAAACTCAGTTTCATTATCCATAAAATGGGCATAAAAATTACCTGTAGTGCCTATCTTATAGGGTTATTGCAATGAACAAATGAGAGAATATATGTAAAGTATTTTGTAAAATCTTAAAGTGTTATATAAATGTCAGTTATGTTAATTTTTGATTCAATTCACTAAACATTTTTTTAAGTGACTCCTCAGTGCCAGGCACTATATGCTAAGCTCTGGGGATACAAATAATAAAAAGAATGATAGTCCTACCCTGCAAAGGGAGAAGACAATACGCAAGAGGAAGCTGAAAGGGAAGGAGGAGCCCAGAGGGCACCTGGGGCAAGCTCATGATGTTTGTGTCGGAAATCAAGCAGAACCACTAATGGAAAGTGGAGCCTTCTCTGGAAAGTTCTGAGCCCTCGGTAAAAGAACACTTTGGGAGGAGCTTCTTGCTCTACCATGCAGTCAGCAGGGAGAGGCAGCTGGGGGATCTGAGAACCAGCAAGGCGCTGAGTATCAGAGACCGAGTCAGGCTTCGGGGTGATGAGATTTCAGGTGACCACCTTATTCTGAGGGAGGCAGATGTTCATGGAGTGGAAACCAAGTGCGGTTCTGATAGCTCTGAGGAGGAGGATGATGATGAAGCAGCAGCAGCTGGTGGCAACATGGAGATGGTCTGCAGATGAGGAGTCCAGTTAGTTTAGGAATGCTACTCTAGCTTTGGTGCCCTAGTGAACTAGGGGAGTGACCTGAAGTAGGTTGCTGGAGTGGCTATAAAGAAGCAGATGCCTTTAGTATTGTTTAAAAGGTGTGATTCTCTTTATCTGATGTTCAAATCACTGTCCTGTTGGTGGGCAGCTAGGTGGTGCAATGGAGTGCAGTGCAGGGCCTGGAGTCGAGAAGACCTGAATTTGAATCCAGCCTCAGCTAGTTGTATGACCCTGGGCTTGACTTAACATCTTAACATCTGTTTGCCTCAGTTTCCTCATCTGTGGGATAATAACAGGACCCACCTCTCAGGGTTGTTGTGAGGACCAAATGAGATAATAATTATGAAGTGCTTAGTACAGTGTCTGATGTTGCAGTTTGGGGTGCTCCCCTAGACCTCAACACTGGGAACCCCAAAATGCAAGGGTACAGGGAGTCTGCCTCAAAAGAATTTGACCATTCAAGCCTTCTTTCAGTCAAAGTAGTGAGGTTTTTTATAACACCAGAAGGTGGGCAAGATTCCTAGTAAATCTGGAGTTTGGTAGGGATAAGACTGATACTTACATACAAGAAAAGGCCCTGAGAACATCTGGATGGGATTAAGGAATGGTCAATAGCCTGGGCTGGTCCTGGGGCAAAAGAGAAAGGGTCCAGATGGGATTAAGGAGTGGCAAGTATCCTGGGGTGAGCCAGACCGAAGACACTGAAAGGAGTTAAGTGGTGGGAGAGCCACAGTGTATGTATCTAGGTAGACTGGGATGGGCCAGATGCCTCAGGCAAAATGCCAGTGTGGGAAAGTTCAAGGCAAAGACATGGTCTTAAACCAGTGTGGGAAAGTTCAGGGACTTTTAGGGGTCCCGGTCCTATTGCCCCATCACCTAGCACATAGTAATTTCTACATAAATGTTAGCTATCATTGTTATTATTATTATTATTATCCACCACAGCTTTACTCTTGAATAATAGAAGATATTGTTGAAATATCCATTCAGTTTTTTCTCTATTTATTTCTAGGTGCTCCTAACACTGCAGAATTAAGAATCTGTCGAGTAAACAAGAATTGTGGAAGTGTCAGAGGAGGGGATGAAATATTCCTACTCTGTGACAAAGTTCAGAAAGGTATTCCTATATGAGTTCTTTTATTAAATTTAGTTCATATAAATATACACATTTTACATTTTAATCACCTACTATTAAATATTTCTGCTCATTTTCTAGATGATATAGAAGTTCGATTTGTGTTGAATGATTGGGAAGCTAAAGGTAGCTTTTCACAAGCAGATGTACATCGTCAAGTAGCCATTGTATTCAGAACACCACCATTTTACAAAGCTATAACCGAACCAGTGACAGTAAAAATGCAGCTCCGAAGACCTTCAGACCAGGAAGTTAGTGAATCCATGGACTTTCGATATCTGCCAGATGAAAAAGGTACCATTTTACCACAAAAGACAAATTTTATTGCATAAAAGATACTTTTGCTTATGATTTTCTCTATTATTGATTCAAATCTGGGTTTCATTTATGTGTCTGTAAGTTTATACTTTTCTTTTTGGAAGTACTTCCAATTATGTTTTTATTTACTTTCCTTTGCAAATCACCATTAATTCAACAACTGTGTGACTGCTAAATAGTATAAATGTTACATTGTAAATGCAGCTGCATTCTTTGATTGCTGTGAGGCATATGAAAAATAAAAAGTGGACCTTGCTGTCACTGGAGCTTCCATTCTGTGGTAGGAAGAGTAGACATAGACACAAAGAATTACAAGTAGAAGGCCCAGAGTACTCTAGGTCACTCAGGAGAGAAAGAGGTCTCTTCCAGAGTGAGGAGGGGACAGGTGGAACCAGGGAAACCTTCTTGGAAGAGATGGCATTGAGCTGGACCTGGTGCAGGGAGGTAGAAGCCCCATGAGCTGAGGCATGGGGCAGGCAAAGTACAGGACAGGGTTAGGAAACAGGAAGTTGAATGAGAGTCTACAGCTTAGCGATCATAATGGCTGAGATTTATATAGCACTTTAAGATTTGTAAAGTACTTGCTATACATTATTTGGTTTGAACCTAAAAACAACCCTGAGGTAAGCATTACAGGTTCATATATGATGATCTCCCTTTTACAGATGAGAAAACTGAGGCTCAAAGGGATCAGAGGATCAGAGATTTAGAGCTTGAAGGGATTTTAGAGGCCATCATATCCACCCCATGTCCCCTCCCCCATTTTAAAGATGATCCTGAGGCTCAGAGAACTTCAATGCCTTGTTGAAGGTCACAGGGATAATAAGAGTCAGTCAAGAGAGGAACACAGGTCCTCTGTCTTACTTTCTGCTTCTTCCCCACATTCATTATAAGCAAAGGGCTTATGTCAGTCTGAATTCCCTGATGGCCTTGGAGGGCTTCATTTTCAATGAAAGCTTTCCCACAGCCATCACATTTAAAGAGTTTCTCACTAATATGAGATCTCTGAAGAGTAGTGAGGTTTGGCCTTTGGCTAAAAGCTTTTCCGCATTCATAATATGCAAAGGGCTTTTCTCCCATCTGAGTTCTCTGATATCTAGCAAGGTTTGTCCTCCAGATGTAGCCTTTCTCACATTAATTACATAGAAAGAATTTCTCTCTGGTGTGAATTCTGATTACCTGTGCATGGTTTCCTCTCTGGTGGGATTCACACCTGGGTCATAGTGAAGGGCTTTGAGCTAGGCAGATAGGCCATGGAGGGTGGGGAATTTGCAGAGGGAGTGGAAATATGAGGTAGAGAAGTGAATTTAGAGACTTAGTGGGAGTTAATAAGGTCCTAAAAAGGGTTTTGCTGAAAATAATCTATGGCTTTCATTTTAAGATTAGAATGTCAGATGTAAGGCAAATCTTTGCAGCTCCTTTTTTTTCAAGTTGATTAGAAAGTTAAACTGCTTATTCTTTATATATGTGTAGATATATATACATATATATGTATATATATGTGTAGATATATATACATATATATGTATATATATGTGTAGATATATATATGTATATATATGTGTAGATATATATATGTATATATATGTGTAGATATATATATATAGGTATATATATAGGTATATATATGTGTGTGTGTGTACTCAGAAAAATTATATATGTACTCACATATACATATACACATGTATGTCCATCTACATGGCACATTAATATGTGTTGTGTGTTTGGATATAAAATTTTAATACTTGATTTTAAAAAACACTTTCATATACACTGTTATTTTCTTAGTGTAGTGGAAAGAACAGTTGGTTTGGGGAGTCAGAAAACCTGAAAAATTCCAGTTCCATTACCTGTGCCCACTTTGGGCAGGTCCATATTCAACCTTATAGAGCTCATTTGTAAAATGAGGAGATTGGACCACATGAACTCTGAGGTCCCTTCTTGCTCTAAATAGAAGATTCTGTGTTCCTCCCACCAACCTGGTAAGGCAGGTAGGATCACTGTAAATTCCATTTTGCTTTTTGAAAAGAACATTCATCAAATCAGTAGCAGTTATTTGCCATCACATATAGTGTTTTTTATGATTCTTTGTCCTTACTAATTGAGTAAAGGACATTTAATGTTTCTTGATTAATTAGCTGATTAATCCTAAGTTTATTAGTTCTCTATGGACCCTGGGAAAAGAATTCTGATTAACTGTAAAGAAGAATAAACATTTTAAATACTTAACAAAATATCCTTTTTTCTTTCACTTGTTTCTTTGTTTATATACATTTATGAATTAATCACCATTAATAAAAGTATCTAATCCTTCTTTTCCCTTGCACTGATTAAATTACTATCTTTACCCATTTATTCATAAAGATTATCTTACTTAGCTAACATGAGAAAAGCACTTACTGCTTTCTCATGTGAAAAAGAAGCCTTATATTTTCATCTAAGTTCAATTCTCTAGTAAATACCCCCTAGCAATCATTCTGAATTAAGATTATTTGGTAAGTAATTCATAGGTTTAAAGTATAACATAGTTTTTAAAAGCTAGAATGATTTGGAGAAGTAATTCATGCTATCTTCTTACCAAGACTTACTCTAACCCCTTTTAAACAAATAAATTAGGGTCAGATTGACAGAAACTTTGTGCATGTATGAAGAAAAAGCCTTTTGACAGGTCTCTTAGAATTCAAACATGATCAACTTCTTATTTGTTGTTTGACAAACTACAGATTTTAGAATGCTGTGTGAATTTTTTTTCTGATATCAACTTTTAAATCTTTTCTTTTTCCCCACAATCCTACAGAAGAAATGAATACTTTTCACAATTAAGAGAAAATCTTGTGTTGACAACGATCTATAGTTATTAAATCACTTCTAGGCAGCTAGTTGGTGCAGTGGATAGAGGGCTGGAGTCAGGAAAACTTGAGTTTGAAATCAGCTTTGACACTTACTAGCTGTGCAAATCACTCAACCTTTGTCTGCCTCAGTTTCCTCAACTGTAAAATGGGGATAATGATAGCATTACCTCATAGGATTGTTGAGAGAATCAATGAGATATTTGAAGAGTTCTTAGCATAGTGCCTGGCATGTGGTAGGTGCTTAATAAATGCTTGTTTACTTTAGCTTCTCTCTTTCCCTATGTACACTGATTTAAAGCATACTTTCTATGTATTTATGTGATATGTGGATAGACATATGTGTATATGTACATATGAATACATATAGTATATTAAAGTATACTTTTCTATATATTTATGATTAAATTTTAAAATTTAAAACATTTGTTTTAAAGAGAGTAGAAGCATAACTGTGTGATTAATGCATTTCCCTCCGTCTTACCTAACCAGATCCATATGGTAATAAATCAAAGAAACAAAAAACAACTTTAGATTTCCAGAAGCTGTTGCAAGGTTGTGGTAAGGATTTTTTACTTTTAAACATTTTACCAGTTTTCAAAATTAAATGCCAGATTTTTCTAACCTATTTAATATTTTAAATTCATCTGATTTTTAAATGTAAATTTCAAAATAATTCTAACTAAAGTTTTAAAAATTATAGTTAGTTTTCCAGAAAGACCAAAAGTTGGCCCTCCCCGATTGACTGGAGAAGGGAGAATCATCAAAAAAGGTATTTATTTCTGTAGCATTCGACCTTTTGTACAGATACAGAAATCAGAAAGACCAGTGTGCTTTATATATTCTTCCACCATTCTTGATGTAGAAAAAATTGCTCATTTGACTTTTCCCCACAAATTTAAAATACACTTTCCATAACATATTGAAATGCATTGGTGTCTGTACAAAACAAAACAGTATTTGAAACTGTGATTATGTTCTTCATATTTACATTACTCTAATTTTCTAGAGAATAAATGAAGTCTTACAGTAAATACATAACTAACTGGAATGTCTGGAGAAAAAGATATTCTGGTAATTGAATTTCTGGTTAACTAAAACTTGATCAGAAAATCATCTTTTGTTTCAAGCTTTCTTGAAATTTTTAAAAAATGTGTTGGTTTACTTGCACATTTTACTAAATATAATACTTTGAACATAATCTCTTTTATTGTTGAGCCTCTCCTGAAGTCCTCCTAATGCCTCATGATGGTGTGGAAGTGACCTTGTAGTTTCATAGACTAGGCCAATGGGGCACAAGATCTCCTGAGTGTTACCATCCCTGGAAGTTAGCGAGGTATTTTAATCTGACTCAATGGTACCGGAGTATCCACTGATGAAATCAAGTCATTGAGATCCTGAGTTATAAATATGAAGGAGGATCTTGCGGTGCCCTAGAGTCATCCTTCTGACTACTTACCATAGGTCAGTGCTGTTCATGAAGTTGTAGATGGTCTAGGAGATTGGGTGGAATCTGTAGTGTATTTTATTTATTGTGTATATGCATTTTTCAATAAATCCTGATATGAAAATGTTTCCTTTGATTTTCCTTTTTCTCCTGAAAGTGCAGTGCATACAGTAATAATTCATACACTAAACTTTAAGGTTTGCAAAACACGTTCCTCACAACTCTTGTGATACATTAAGTAGTCTAAGTGTTACCTCCAATTTACAGTTGAAGCAGCAGGTTTTGAGAGTTCAATGATTTGCCCCATGATCACACAACTAAATATCTGAGCAAAATTTAAATCTAGGCCTCTCAACACCCAGTGTCATGCCTCATCCACTTTTTGATGTTACCTTTTGATAAAAACATTCCTGGTTATTTGGATTCTAATTGATAGTAGTTCCACTCTAATATTTATATGAAATATGCTCAGTTTTCTCATATGGGCTTCAAAAGCTGGATTTTTATAATGTCCTAAATGAGATTACATACTGATACTTATTATATATTCTTACAAAATCATTTGCTTAAATTCAGTGTAAACAGCAGTATTCAAACATTAGTAGAATACTTTTACCTGAAGTGACTTTGGCTATTTTGTACCCAAGTTTATAGAGGTATGTGAATTACATTGTTAGGACTTATTTAACTTTATGTATAATTGAATGTTAAGATGCTTTAAAATATTATCTTAATTTTTAAATACTTTTTAAATAAAAAATTACTTTTAAAAAAATCTTTTTTTAAAATTTGTACTTCTAACAGAAATGCAAAGAACTCCAGGAACCATGCATCAAGTCCCACCTTACTTTTCTTCGCCACTGGTGTCAAGTCCAAATACAATGTCACAAACGGCTTCAACTTTATCTTCAATGATATCTTATCCTTCTTCAAGCTGGCCATCAATGACTCCTCCTACATCAATAAACTCAATTAATACACATTCACCAAATGGTTTTTCAACAGGGACACTTCCCTCTGGTTCAGAGAGTGGCCGGTCCTACCTGGAAATAGCTGTTTCGGGTAGTCTAGATACTTCTGATCCTTGCCTTTATAACAATGGTACCAATGGAATTGGAGCTCAGTCCCTTTCCCAGGCTGACCTCTTTAGTGTTAATTCCAGCATGTTGCAGAATCGTCCTATGAACATTACAACATCCAGCAGTGACAGCATGATGGACGCTGATGTGCACTATGGCAGCCTGAACCTTGAAAGCTCATCGTATAACTCGGGGTTAAATCCAAGAGACTACAGGAGGCCAGTCCATCCCATGCCTGCCACCAGGGTGTCCACGGCAGGCTCCAGCGCCAGTCCTGCTCTCTTGGTTTCACAGTCAGATGTATTTGATCCAGTAGATTTCAGTTGTCTAGAGAACAGCACAGTAAATGAATCAAAATCATCAGGCCACCCTAATTCAAATAACCCAAGTTTTGTGCCTAACAGTCAGTGTTATGTTAATGATAATTTGCAAAGTGAAGATCATTTTAATTCCTTTGAAGTCAATTTAGACTTGTTTAATACAGAACTTGTCTAATTAGAATGGAGTTTGTATCCTTTGAATATATATTTGCAGTCATGCACCTAAGATGCACCATTTTACATTCATCTGATGCACTGGGGCCTTGCTATAAGTCTGCTGTTGTGTGAATTTGGTGTCTTTTGCGGATCTTGTCCAGAGGAGGTTGCCGTGGAAGTGCCCAAAGTATTCCTTACAACAGAGTTTCACCTACGGCATTGGTTTTACTGAAGGAATTACTTGAAGAGGGTGCTTATATCAAGGCTCCAGTACACAAGCAAATAAACCTTCCAGAATTTACTTTAGAAACATTTTACTCTAATGACGTTATACACGCTTACAGGATTGATTTCATATTTGCTTTCAAGCAAATTATTTACATAGATACTGTAATGACCATGTCATTGAAAAAAAAACTTTTTCAGCATTATTATTATAGGCAGCAGGTGACCGACCCCTAAGGGGTCTCCTGTGGCTGTTTGGCATACTGTGTAGAATTCCTGGCTGTTAATAAAGCCTGGGCCTGAAAGAAAATGGATAGAACATCGGGATCACCTGGAGTAGGTAGCAGGTTCCCAAGAAATTCCACTTGTTTCATGCCCAGCTCTTCATGGGATAAAGCTGTTTCTTTGTAATTATTGAATGTCTCTTTAACATCTCTCTGCTCCTTCAAAGAAGCTAAATTAGATTTGCTATTAGGATAGAGGCATTTATTCATAGCTTCTTTCACCTCTGGGAATGATTTGGAGAACTTCCCTATCATCTTATTTTTCCCAGATCATTTTTCTCCCCATTTTTAATTTGAATAAGTTGATGACTTTTACGTAACTGAAAGTGAAATTATTTCATCTCACCAAAAGTGAGTCTTAAATCAGGTGAAGTTGACACTGACTGACCAGAAGAATGTAAGCTCCTTGAGCACAGGGAATGTTTTTGGCACCATATCCCCAGAGCTTAGCACAATGTCTAGACGATGATAATAACAGGTGTTTAATAAATGCTTGCCAAGCCAAAATGAATCAAATCAGCTATACCACAGAATGGGACTCCAGTTTTTGTTTTCTTGTAATATGGAGGGTTTTGCTGCTGTAATTGGGCAGAGTGCTTTTTCTATTTGAAATACGAAACTTTTACCCCATTGTGAGTGACATCCATGGTAGGTAGAGATGCACGCTAAAGTTTTATAGTATCCAATTTTGAGTTTTCACTTTTTGGAAATTTCTTAAGCTGGCCATTTTAATTGACAGAGGACACAAATACACCTCAAACAGTGTAACTGCTAACAAAACCACTTCATGGTGACAGATGTGAAAGACCAAATCACGTGAATGTATATTTACATTATAATCTGGAACATTGGCTAGAATATTTGCGGTTATTTTTCTAAAATGTTGTAATGATTTTATCACATTTCCCTTATTTAATTGATGATTTGGATTCCCCAGATACTTCTGTAGCAAGTGGTGATACATTATATATGTATATACTCATATATACATTTATGTGTGTGTGTGTGTGTATATATATATATATATATATATGTATATATACATATATATGAATAGTGCAATAGATAGTCCAAAATGGGGATTATTTTTTCAAGATTTGATTTAGCAGTTTAAGAAATGCTGGCATATGGAACAAAACTCAATTGGTAAGGTATTTATTGAGCTGTCTTGTCCTATCTTTTCCTTTGGATAATTCTAAACTAGAATGTTCTTAAACTGGAACATGTGGTTCCATTAGGGATCTCATAATCTAGGTAGGGCCAGTTTATGGACTAAGCAACTTAGAGGAGTGCCAGAGTCTCTCTGGACTGACAAAGTCCTACTAGGTCACATCTCCTAAGAGAGTGCAGTTGTCCCATTAATAAATCCCAACCCAGTTATCCTGTAAGAACTTTTTCCAGTAAAAAATTTTGTCCTGGCTCGAATGTGTGGGTGATCAACCTGAATTGTGTAAGGCTTCCTTGAACATAAATGCTCAAAAGGCCAGGAGAAGGCAGAACTACTGGCTCACTCTTTACTAGAGTTGCAGGGGCCATGGCTTCATAAATCATTTCATTGAGGGAGATCATTTGTCTCCTTGACTGAGGGGAATCTGATACTCTAGTGCCACCCTCTTGTCCCCGTGCAGGGTCATCCCCACTGTGGCAGGGTGTGCTGACCTCCCTAGGGAGCTTCTATCCAGGTTCCCCAGAGGGTCCACAAACAAGTTCAAAGTAAGAGTTTGGAGGCTCCATTTCCTTTCAGTCTCAGGTTGTTCAGACTGTTTTGCATGAGTATACACCCATTCTTTCCTTAGTCCCCAGTTCTTGTTGTACCCTGCCCTACATTGTCCCCAATTACGTTGTTATTCCAGTTCTGCCTTTCTGGGTCCACCAGTATTCTTAGGCTCCCCTTATGTACTTATTTGGGCTTAAGATGGGAATGTAATTCCATATACTTCAAGGGGTATAAATCCACTAATGGTTCAAAAGCATTTTCTTAACAACTGAATTTATTCCTTATCCCTTTTTGTAATTTGGAAATTTAACTGTCTTAACAGTTTCAAGTGCCTCCACGCTGAACCCTAAATTGCCTTGTATTTATGCTTATATGTGTACATATTGTTTCCCCAGATTAGAATGTAAGCTCCCAGAGGGCATGGACTGATTCATTTTTGTCTTTGTATCTGCAATACATAGCAGAGTGCCTGATACAGGCACTTAATAAATGCTTTTTGATTGAAGAATTCTTACTTCATTGATTTCCTAGAAATTTCTGATTTTTTAGATATAGGCTATAAATTGGGGGAAGGGGAGAAATTTTAAGGACTGATTTGATGTTAATGGACACAGATGAAACCTGTCCCATGCCTGAATACAACTGGAAACCTTAATCAACATTTCATTATTCTTAGGCTTTTGGAATAAAGAGGAAAATCATAAGACAACCTAAGACAAAGTGATATTAAGGATTTGTTAAAACAAGTAACATTTTTAAAACTATATCCCAGAATTGGCACATATTTAGCCCAATATTTTACTCTTAAATTTTCATCAATGACCATGAATAATAACCAAAGTGAAAGTTGTTATATGTCAATAAAGAAAAATCAAATTATCTAGTTTTGTACTTTTTATTTAAGTATTTGCTATTTCTGGTTCTTTTTTACAAAGGTTTGGAACAGCTGGGTTGAAATGCTTTGCTGATCAAACCTCAGATAATCAGAAAATTAAATTAACCAGCATCCTCCAACCTTTAAGTATTGAGTTACTGATGACTTTAAGTTTTAAAAAAAATTTATTAGGAAATTATCATACTTCAAATACAATGAAATGTTCTTCATGATTTACATTTCAGCATATAGAAGACTTTCCAGCTACTTCCTCTCAAGTCCATATATTTTCATTCACTTTTCCTCTTAATTTGGTCTTGTATAACCTGTTACTGTTTCTGCTTTTTTTTTTTAGCTTTGCATGATTTCATAAAGATCTTTCAAGACTTTTTTGCATATTTCATACTCATTGGTCTTATTTGCATTACAGTACTCCATTATATTAATGTGCCACATTAAACTAGTCTTCTATAATAGGATTTCTAGATTTTTCCAGTCTTTTGAAATTAAAAGTAATGTTCTTATGAAAATCTTTGAACAGATTTTTTTTAGGCAATTGGGGTTAAGTGACTTGCCCAGGGTCACACAGCCACCTAGCTGCCCCCCTGAACAGATATTTCTTAAAACAAACACTTTCAGGGTATATTCTTAGACAATGTAATTAAGCCAAAGGGCATGACTATTTTTGTAATTTTTATTGCTTATTTCCAATTTGGTATTTAAAAGAATTAGACTGGTTTGAAATTGCACTTATGATAAATAAGTTTAAGTGTATCTCTACAACCCCACCAGAATCTTTTTGATTAAAAAAAATTTTTCCCCAAATTTAATTAGGTAGCTCAAAGTTGTTTAGATTTGTATCTTTACTAGTGAGGTTGAACATTTCTTGTGTGATAATTATCAATAATTTATTTTTCCTCTAGTGAAGATTGCCAATATCCTTATCTATCATGGATTATGGAGTTATTTTGTTAATTTTTAAACAGATATGTGTGTTAGATGTCAAGTTTTGTTGAATTTCCATGAGTTTTTCCTTAGTTTTTTTGTTGTACAGATATTTAATATAATCAAGCACTCTTTTAAAAAAAAATTAGCTGTCTGATGAGAAAAAAATCATCTCCCAAGATTAATATAAAAAGATATGATTCTTTTTATAAAGTTTTTTTAATATTTAAATCTATTTTCTATTGTGTAAATTACTTTACTTGCTATTCACTTACAGCTGTTATTTATTAGGAAGATGTCTTGGTTGCTCAGTTGTCTGCCACACAAGTTCTTGATGAATTATTATCAAATTGAAGAAGGCAAAATTTGTCTTTCATCATAAACTTACTCCATCGAATCCCAAAATTTTAGCTGGTTGGGAGTTGGCTTAATAAATGCTTTGCTACTGGCCACAATCAGGTTTTGGTTTTACAATGTCAGAAAACATGAATTCTACGTAGTTTTCATTGTAACCTGTAGTAATTTCATCTTCATCTCTTCTCTGATAACCATTCACTTCAAAAGAAATCTTACTGAGTGATGGCATCTCTTTTCTGAATTCTCTATTTTGCATTTCTGTTTCTGTATATATAATTCTACTAGATTACAAATTCTTGGAGCATCTTATTATATTCATTTGTGCCTAGCAGGATTCTTTGCACATAGGTGCTTAGGAAAGACTTCTTAATTGCTAATGAACCATAAACTTATAAAAAAAGAAACTGATAATTTTAGATTTTAAGCTTTATTCGCCAAAATAAACTTTTGTTGACAGTAGCCTATAATTCATTGTTTGGTGTACTTCTAATTGCACAATTTGAAAATAATTATAATCCTGTTGTCTTAACTGGTCTCCAAGAAAAATTCAGATGTTGCATGGTACTCTTGTGATAAAAGAAACTTAGGATTAATTCAGAATTTAAGAATTCTGTAACTAAACAGGCAAATTCTCTAAGGCTATAATGTTGCAGAAAAGGTGCTAACTTGCATTGGTAGGGGAAGTTTTCTCATCTGGAAGTTTCCTGACCCAAAGGAAGCAAGGATCCCTATTCCTATTATTGAATTTGACATAACATTTAAACATAGAAAGGCTATTGAAATTGCCTTTCAGTGTTATGATTTTAAAATTTTTATATAATTTTTACCTCCCCATTTTCTAAAATCTAAGTCACAAAGTGTATTTGAGATAATTAGTCACAGAGCAAAAATGATACTACACAAGCTCTAAGGAACAATGAACATTTTATTTAAAATCTGTTAATTTAAACAAATTCATAAAGGAAATTACAAAACAATTTTCTAAATTTGCTCTCTTCAAATTTGCTTTTATGGGCAAAAATTAAAATGAATTTCATTCTCCCTCTTCCCAGTTTTGCATATGAGATAAACCTGGGAAAACTTATTTAACAGTCTCTGCCTTAACTATGGTCATTTTACATATAAATATTGGCAAAAATGTGATATTTTATGTAACTGTTTATTCTTTACTCACATTTCTAGGTAATTAAAAACATTTGAGATCCCTTCTGATCATCTGCTCAGGTGTCCCTTTCTTCCATTTCTGGGGCCCCATGCTGAGCTGACCTATACAATTTTGCAAACTTTTCTTATCTTATGAAAGATTTGAAAATTCTATCAAGTTTTCCTTAGAAAATAATCAACATTCAATAATCAAGTTCTTATCTTTATATCAAAAACTCTTTTCTGTTTTTTCCCTTTTAGGCTTTGAAGGTTATTAAAATTTTATGAGTAGTAAGGGTAAAATTTTGAATTGTTATATTCAGGTAAAGCAAAAGTTTTAGTTAATGTACTGTCACTTTCTAAAGGAAATATGAACTTAATTTTTAGTATCTATGAACCATGTTTTGTTGCAGAGCTGGAAAAAAGTGACTAATTCAGCACTGTAAAAGTCACATGTGTTCTAAAATAAGCTTCAAGAGTTGAATCAGGACAAAGGAAATTACGATGGAAAATGCCCTTAAAAGTGAAATTTGAAGGTATGATTTGCTCACTATGAAATCTAGTCAACATCTTCTGTTCCCCATCTTGAACATTAAACATCCGAGCAGTTGGCCAATCAACATTGACAGACCACAGTAAAGAAACTACTTACTCTCTCAATGACCCATCAAAATTTCTTTTCTTCAAGTAACAGCCTCTTTAAAAAAAATTATTCCCCCCCATAATACTGACCATAATAATTTTCCGTCATAATGGCTAACATCTGTTACCAATAATATATTTTATTAAACATGTTTGAATTCTTAATTTCTTGATTTTATAAACAAAGCTAAGAGGTCACTCTACTACTACAGATTGGCAACTATTCTGACAGTCTTTGAGGAGTTGCTTAATTAATGTTTGTGGAATCCTTTTTGTGATATCCTCTTCAAAATATTGAGGTGAGAGCTGAGTGTTCTTTCTACCCTCCAGTTTTCTTAAAGCACTTCATCAGGGTCTCTCCTTGATGTGGACCCACTTACCCATGCTCACAAACTCTTTAGCACTTGCCACTAATTCTGTTCACTCCTGAACTGTGGGTCCTTTGGCTTGTAAGCACCATGATCCCCCCCCCCCCCGAAAACCCTGGTGGCTCAGAGCTGTGCCAATTAGAAATCTCATGCTTGCCAAGGCTTCTATCATGAGAACTCCCCAAATATTTCTGTCACTCCATAGGAATCCTCCCTAGCAATTCCTAGAATGTTGCCCAGGATTACTGTGAGATGTAAAAATCTGAGATCTGGAACTTGTGTCCTCCAAGGCTGGATTTTTCTAAAACTTCATGCATCTGTTCATGACTTCAACCTCCCTATTAACTCTTCTTTTCTTTTCTGTCTCAGACCTTCTTCCTAAGGAACAAGGGGGAAATATCCCCCACATACAGCAAGCTAAAATGTATTCCTACTATTTTGATCCACTTTATATCCTCCTGATTGGCTGAGTTCTGTAGTAGTGTGAGATATTTTCCAAAAATTGCTCTGGGTAACTTTTTTTTTTTATTAAATCACAATTTTTTTCAATTAATAAAAATCCCTTTTCTCTTCCTCCCACTTCCCTGTCACTGAGGGAAAAAAAACAACAACAAAGAAACTAAGTAAGGATAATCAAGCAAAACTAATTCCTTGCACTGGTCATGTCCAAAAAATGTGTCTTGATCTGCACCCTGAGATCATCACCTCTCTGTTAAGACCTGGGTGGCATGTGTCATCCTGGTACCTCTGGAATCATGGTTGGCTGTTGTGTTGATGACGGTAGCTTAAGAACGCTAATAAAATTCATTGGAAAAAAAAGAAAAGCATTTTATGCAAAGTTTTTCCAGGAAGTTCTCAGTGCCACAGGAAAGTCTGTCATAACAACAGCAACAAGAATACTGATCACAGCTTAAGTTTAGACAGCACTTTAAAACTTTGAAGCACAGCACAAACTTTATCTTATTTGATCTTTACAATAACTGTTCAAGATGGGCACTGCAGGGTGTTTTTTAGAGACACAGCCAACAAATACCAGAGGCAGGACTCAGAATTCTAGAATTAGAAGGGCCTCCTGGGCTAGCCCAACCTATTCCTGAACCAGAATGCTCTCTATAACATCCTTGACAAGTCATTGTTCAGTCTTGCCTTGAAGGCGTCCAGGAGCCCTAAAGATACAGCAGGTACTTAAGAAGTGCTTGTTGACTTTGAAGGGGGGGAAAATTTCCTACCTCCAGAGGCAGGCTTCCTGCTCTACCTTAGGACAGCTTTAATTCTTAAGACTAGTTTTTTTGTTCTTGGTTTTTAACATGTGAAGCCTAAATTTGCAACTCCCACTCATTTTTCCAACCTCTGTCCTTCCAGAGTTCAAATCCAAATCTTTCCTGATTTCAAATTCCACATTTTTCCCAGTATACCCACCCTGCTTAATAGGAGAGAGGAGAAAAGGCCAACTTCACCAAATACGGGAGTGGCTATGTCGGGGGTGGGAGAGAAGAGTTGGAAGGAAGTTTTGGGAGGACAACAGAAGCATTTGTCAAAGGAGGGAGGTATCGGGGTGAATATACAGCTAACACATCAGCACATATCAACAAGTTCACTTAGGGAACATGCTAGGCCAAAGACAGCAGTAACAAATGAACTGCTATGCCAATACAAAGTTTCCCTTTTAGGTCAGTCTGTGATAATTTACTGAAGCTATTTTGATTACTTTCTTGACTAATGCTCTGATGCTAAGATCAAGTCACCTGTAAATAGGGATTAGGCACTTGATATTTAAGCCTTTAATTTCTTCTTGTCTGATTGCAATTGTTTGCATTTCTAGAACTATTTCAAGTCATATCTATTAATAAAAAGCCTTTATCAAGCCCCACCATCTGGTGCCAAGCTCTGAGAGACACAGAGAGTCCCTGATTCCAAGGAGTTTACATCCTTGAGATGTATCATAAAAAGTAAAGAGTATTGGCAGGGGTACAAGGAGGAGGAGAAGTGCACTAGGGAATCAGGAAAGATTTCACACAAGAATTTTGAAGGAAACTAGGGATTCTAAGAGATAAGAGGATTCTAAGCAAATGGGTCAGTTCAGCCAGACCAAAGAGTACAGAAGGGGGAATAATGTATAACAAAACCAGAATCATAGAAATACCAATTAAAAAGTTTGTATTTGATTCTAAAGGAAATAAGGAGCCACAGAAATTTGTGGAGCAGGGCAGAGATTTAGCAACATCACTTTGTCAGAAAGGTCACCCAGACAGGAAGCATCAGACCTGAGATTTGAACCCATGTCTCTCCTGACTCCTCAGCCGGTCCACTGTGCTTCCCTGATTTTTCTCTGTCCTTGGATACTTTGGGGGGTTCTTGTTCAGTTCTAGCTCTACAAACACTTCTACTGTGTTGCTTTGGCTGCTAATCCAATATAATGGAAAGCCTGTGTTCCTGATTTCAGGAGCTGGAAGAGGGGAGGCAGGGTAGACAGTAATTTGTCTGAAAAGAAGCTTGGGGTTTAGTGGACTACAAGCTCAATATGAGTCAACAGTGTGATACCCAACAATGAGAATAAAACCACCTACTCTGTAGGGTTATTGTAGAGATCAAACAAGATACTACAGATGACAGTGCTTAAATGACAAATATGATCTTAACTTTTCAAACAATTCCCAGAAATCCAGGCTGCCTTCAACCTTTTTTATTTAAAAGATATCTTGAAAATCCACTGTACATACTATATATATATAGATATAGATATATATCTATATATATATATCTATATCTATATCTCTCTCTCTCTCTCTCTCTCTCTCCATATCTGTATCATTACTCATGAGTCTTTGTTTTTCTTCCACAGGAAAAAATGTTAGCAATACCAGGTTAATAGGGTAGTTAGTAAAATGTGTGCTAAACAGCACATTATAATAAAATTAACAAGTAATTCTTTAAAAAATCAATTAGCTGAGATTAGCTTTGTACTTCCTAGAATGTTTATCTGATGAAAATAAAAGCTAAGATTTACATAATGCTTTAAGGTTTGCCCAACGTTTTACATGTGCTATCTCCTTCTATCCTCACAATAACCCAGAGTGGTAGGTGCTATTATTATTCCTATTTGGAAACTCAGGCTGAGAGTTTAACATACTTGCCTAAGGTCACACTAGTAAGGGACTGAGAATGGATTTGAACTCAAGTCTTCCTGACTCCACATCCAGCACTCAATCCCCCTACATCACCTCCCTTCCTTTCATAATATGTTTCATAAGCCTATGTATAGCTTACAGCTGACTTATTTCAAAGAACAGAGAAATTTTTTGATTCAGAGCACAAAAGGAACATAGTATATCTCATCCACTGAAGAAGATTTCATTTCTCCAGGAATAATGAATTGTGGGTCTATTAAATGTCAGCACATGTATCTTGTAGTCTACATACCTCTCAAAATGAAAGAAGTGGAGAAAAAGCATTATCAGTTACTATTTCATAGGTGGGTGAAAAGAAAAACCACAACAAAATATCCTCAGACCAACTTAATGTCTAAAAAAAATGGCAGTTAGATGAATAAATGCTAATGATTAGAAAACTGTTCAGATCAATGTGATCCAAGTGAGTCTTAAAGACACTTGAGGGAGAAAAAAGTTATCTTGCAGTCTCTAATATGTAAACAGAACAGATGTCTTCTGCTGGATAATAACAAAGCTGTTCTTCTGATTCCCATCTTGAAAGTTAATCGTTCAGAGCAGGTGGCCAGTCAACATCGACAGACTGGGAGGGGAAGAAACTAATGTCATTAAAACTGAACATTAATATTTTATTTAGCATTCGTTAACAATAACAACACAATACAGCAAGGAGGAAATCTCATTTGAAGAAAAGAGCTGGTAAAGGCCACAACTGTACATGACAATTTAATGGCTAGTTTTTCAGAACTCTGTGTCTTAGACTCTCCCTGAACCAATAAGACCTAGCAGCAGAAATATTCTCCTTACTAACTGTGCCACTTCATAAAAGAGATGAGAGCTTTAGGTTGGGGGATAAAAATACCACATTCAGAAACTAAATTTTAGTGAGATCAGTTTAGCTCATCTATTGGTTAATCACTTTAAAAATATGTGAGCAGTTCTTTTTCATCCAAGAAGCTGATTTTTTAGTCCCGGCTGTCTCAAATGTTTGAAAGCATCAGGCAAATATGTCCACATATTTAGGAATTTGTACAAGTAGATTGCTTAAATATTTTGAGTTCCTTAGTATCACTAAAGCTTTGAATTGCTACTAGCTTTTAAAAAACTGATAAGACAAACTGCATCTGCACTTGAAAACTGGACTTACTGACATTTGTAAAAGATACTCAAACAAGGGAATGGTGGCGTGGGGCCCGATATGAAATCACCATTTAAAAAAAAGCAACTTTGATGATTCTGACAGTTCCGTTCTCACAAGGACACATGCCAAAAGTGCTCCACTTTTCTTGCTAGTAATAAAATAATAATAATATAGAATCCAAAGGTACCATATTCAATCACTGTTTACATTCAATTGGAATATGGGGTCTCAAGATGAAGTCAACATATCTTCTTTCAGACTTAAGGCAGCTTTGTAAAAAGATACTAAAAATCTATAGGCCCAAGAAAATATTTATCTGCCTGCCACTTTTCCTAGGGACTGGCTTCCACCTATTAGTGGCTCCTCTTTCTCCTTTTCAGCTAATCCATCAAATTTTATCACTTCTCATTTCTCTTTGAAGAAAATAAGAACATATATACTCCCATTCCATTCCTATCCTGGGGTTCCTACTGAACCCTAATTATTTAAAAATAAGAAAAAGTCTTCCTAAAATTATTTCAAGTTTGTTTTCTGGTATATTTAAAGGCCTGGCTGGCAAGGATTTTAACAGCTTTTGCAGTTGTTTGAAGAATTTAAGTCAGAAAATATATGTTTGGGGTTTTCTCTACAGAGAAGTTACAGCTTGCCCATGAATAACACCAATGAGATAGAATCAACACCTTGCAGACACTCTCTGATGTCATCAACAGCCACTGGCCAGGGTCTTCTAAAAAATCAAATGTATAAGAAAATTATCCACTAAGATGCCAATAACTACTGCAGCACACTATGTTCTCTCTACTATGTATTACCAAAGTACTTTTTCCTGACTTTTCTCATGAGCAGAATGGTGCTATAAGTCAGAATTCTGTTCTCTCCAGCTCAGGTCTGCCCCCACTTGACCTGAATTCTATATCTCTGAATATAAAAGCTAGGGAAGCCATGAATACATTTTCATATGATTTAAGCCTTTTGGGCTTTGAGCAATTTAATTCCTTTTTTCCATTTTAGTTTCCCTGCCTGGCTCCAAGCTTAGATGTGATATCTCTGGGAAAGAGCATTTAAATGAAAATGAGTATATTTTTATTTTGCCAAAATTCAGCAGATAGTTCATCCCTGACACTGTTCTAGGTATGGAATTTTTGACTGCTGACTACACGTCTGATTACTATACAAATCAATGTGATTTTTCTTCAATCCTTTTAAAGCCCCAGGCTTACTGCTGATAGGTCCCATATAAGAACGGATATTCTTGGCTAATTTCAGTATAAGATGCATGATAAACAATTTACCTCTACATCCAGCTCCAGGATATCAGCTGTCCCATCCATTAGGGAACCAATATTTGGCTTGGTTCTCCCAAAGTCTCCATGCACAAACTCTTTAATATAACTGGGTTTTATTTAAGGAAAAATAAGTATGGTCAAGTGGTACAAGCTGTTTGCTGAGATGCAACACGTGAAAAGGAAATGATAAACACAAAAGCAGAAATACTATAAAAGAAAATCAGTTTCCGAGCTATGTCACCTGATGCATGTCTTACAAAATAAGCCACAGAAAACCAGCCCCAAGACCTAGCAATCCAGGGGCTAAAGGGGCTTGCTATCAACTAAATCACATTCTTTCTAGGCAAAGTCTCATCACATATCAGCACAAGCATGATTATTTTCCTTAATACTGACTTATTTTCATGGTTATAAAATCAATCTACCCATCTTTTTTGGCCCTAAAGGATCAACAAGTTGAGCTGGCCAACTTTCAGGCCATAGATCCTGACAGTGAACTTCATGTGCCTAGAAATGTTCTGACAGAAACTTTTCTTATGAGTTGGGCTGAGCAGGTCACATCCCTAACGAATTTACATTTAAATAATATAAACAATAGGGAAGGAAGAGATAAAGGAGATAACAATTCAAAAGTAATGAAAATCCTGTAGAAGTAACATCACAGTTAAACTTTATTTAGTCCTGTGTTATTCCATGCACCAGGACCATATAATCTGGGCTAGAAGAGACCTCAGAGGTCTTTCAGTCTAACCTGTACCAGAACAAAGAATCCTCTCTACAAGCTCCCTGGAAAAGGGTCATCAAACCGACATCTGAAAGCCTCCAGTGAAAAGAAAACTCATGTAATGCAACAAACCCTTGGGGTTTTTCACACAGTCTCTGACTAGTGCCATCTCTTCCAACGTGGTCAGCTCATTTTTTTAAACCAGTAAAGCACTTTAAATTCATCTCTATTAAAAGTCACCTTAATAGGCTTGGTTCACTGCTCTAACCTGCTGAGATGTTGTTGGATTCCAATTTTATAATTCAAAGAGTTACCTATCCCTCAAGTCAATTCAACAAGCATTTATTAAGCACTACTATGTGCCAGTTATTGTGCTAAATGCTGGGCATAAGGAAAAGCAAAAGAATAGTCCCTGCTCTCAAAGGGCTCAGAGTAGGAGAGGACCTGCAAATTGCTATGTAAAACAATACATTTAGGATAAATGGGAGATAATCCTAGAGGGAAGGCACTAAGATTAAGGAGGGCTGGGAAAGCCTTCTTGCTGAAGTTGAATCTTTATTTGAGACTTCAGGGAAGCCAGGAAAAAGAGCTGAGGAGGGAGAGCATTCCAGGCATATGGGCTAGCCAGCGAAGATGCACAGAGTTGGGAGATGGATTGTCTTGTGCGAGGAACAGCAAGAAGATCAGGTCACTGGATTACAGAGTAACAGACGAGAATAAAGGAGTAAGGAAAAAGAAGCCTGGAAAGGTAGGAAGGCCATGCCACCTATACCTTCCAATCACTGATACACATATGGGACAGAAATAGGCAAATGACAGATGCCTAGGGCAACCACTAAAACCACCCCTCTGGGCTCACACCATTCCATTAATTACCACCCTTTAGATCAGGTGATTCAACTAGGTCTAAAACACTTTTCATCTTGTCCATAAGGATATTGTGAAGGACTTGGTATATCAGTTTTTCAGCAAGGCATTTGAAAACATCTAAAGAATTCCCATGACCTCCTCCTGACAGTCAGCTTCATGTGCCTAGAAATGTAATGATAGAAACTTCTGCCAGTGCCAGAAAAGGAAATGAAGTTATTATGGTGTGACTGGTTCTTGATAAACCCTAGCTGGTACACAGTTAATCCTAAGATTTTATGATCACTTTCCCTATATGCTTACAAAGTACTTTTCCCAAAAATGCTTACTATAAACTGAACGTTAAATGTGAAATGTTGTCCCCAGGTGTGATAAAGTTGTAGTTTTTATGGAGAAGAAAAAGATCTCTATTTTTGTACAAAATACACCCTTAATGAATATACTCCTCTATTGCTTTCTTCCCTTTTCCTCATACCATATATTTGAGAAATGTTCTGACTAAACAACAGTATCTTTATTTCCCCTAGTTTTATAATTTTTACTTTCTATTCATTCATTTACTGGGAGGCAATCGGGGTTAAGTGACTCGCCCAAGATCACAGAGCTAGTAAGTGTCTAGGGCCGAATTTGAACTCAGGTCCTCATGACTCCAGGGTTGATGCTCTATCCACTGCTCCACCTAGCTGCCCCTATTTTTTACTTTCCTAAGGACAGCCTCTCCTGTCAGATAACGTGTAGAGTGATGGAGAGCCAGGGCCCACAGAACAGTACAAAAGGTTCAGGTATAACTTCAGTAAAGAGAGAACCAAGATTCTAGTTCATTTTTGTGGAAAACCTGCATTAATATGTTAGAAAAATAATCATAATTTTCCATTACTTTTTCTTTATCACTTATTCTGATATTTGGAATAATCCATATATGGATTAAGCCAAAGTGAAAAGGCTTCAATTAATGACCCACTAAAGCTTAGAACTCATAGAATGTTCAAGCTAGAAGTGAATTTAGACATCTTCTAGTATCTAGTACAAGACCAAGACCATTCTCTGAGGGCTTGGGAATATGAATATATTAAAAGAGAACAACTAGATCATAAAACTAGAAAATTCTTTATCATATACTGAACAGAGAGGATCCTAGTGGTGGGATCCCAGACAGTATAAAAGCTAAATGGTGCAGATAAGGAATCTGGCCCTATGCAATGAAGGCCAAGATTTAGGGGCAGAGGATCAAAGTGTGAGGAATATTTCTATGGGAAAAGAAGTTCAGAATCAGTCCCATTTTCAGAATATTTACCTAGCAGGACCACAATTTTACATTTTGATGCTCCAGTACTTTGCCTGCCAATAGCCTATTAATTTAATACCTTGGACTCAAAACAAGTGTCAAGCAATCTAAAAAAAGCAGGGACCTCTCAAGTCCATGTTTAAAGTAAAGGATAACTAACTCTGATTAACAACCCAATATGAAACTGGTATGGCATTCTTTCAAACATAAATTATTTTAGAAATTTCTATAATTACTAGATATCATTAAATTATAAAAGAATATCAGCTTTAGTTTTGAATCTCTTACGTGTTTAATTCCCAATATAATGTACTTGTATCTCTACTACAGAAAATAGTGTGTGACTTAAAGAATTGATGCAGTCAAGGTCACATATAAAAAATTACAGTCCCCTCTGGCTTCCAACTTCAATTGCTAAACACAAAGAAAAATTATAATGCAAAGTAGTATCATTCATTTTGGAGCAAGTTTTAAAAAATGCTCAAAGAACTTAAATATAATAGTGGATTTGTGATTCTTGGTAGAAAAGGCTTTCTGAAACTTAACCAAAGGCTCAACCAATAAGCATTTAACACATGATTACTACTAGAGCATGGATCTAGCAGTTTTAATTATAAGAAACAAATGTAACTTGGAAGATATGAGGACTAGCAACTTTGGTTAAAAATGGCAATGTGAACATCTGTAGGGAAGCTGAGGGAGATGAGGAGGAAAAAATACCACTCTTTAACATAATTCTTCCCATAATACCTCCCATCCGAAGTAAATGTTTTTCCCAGTATAGTGCTACTTACACCAATATCACTTTGGTTAGAATATCTGGTATACTGAAAGTGAAAGGATACGTTCCTGCCTGAGTCTTCAAATGGAGACGAAAATGATGCTCATCTATATAGTGTGTTTCCATGGTGTGAATGATACGAGTTCTTATGGCTAAAGGTCTTCGGTGAAGAACCCGAAGTGGTGTTTTCTGGTTGATCTGTAAGTCCTGAAGAAGTAAATAATGATATGATTATACTCTGCTTTAAAGACTACAAAATACTTCCCTCATATTAGGGCAGGTAGATAGTACAAGTGTCACCCCAATTTTACAAATGAGAAAACAAATTATTAGGGGTTAAGTGGTTTGTTCATAATTTCACAACTTCTAAGTGTCTACGGTATGATTTGAATCAATGTGTCCTGACCAAGCCCTACATTCTCTCTGTTTTGCTATCCTGCCTGCCTCCCAAACACTACACAAATCACGGAGTTAGGGCTGGCCTCAGACAAAACCAGCAGACAGTTTGAATCTTTCCCTCTTTGGCCTGCCTTACTTCCCCCTCCATACCTTTACCCTACAAAAAGGGTGGGTTCATTACTCTAAGTAGGGCTTGCTCTCCTTGGACTTAGAACACCCATTAGTGAAGCGTGGTCCGCCTTGCTATTACTAAAACTTTTTTTGGGCCCAAACTGTGATTTCATTGCTCAATCAGCAATTCCTCTGTAACACATAGGCACCGAGAGGCCTAGGACTATACAGCCAGTCAGTGTCAGAGGCAGTACTTCACAAGTACCTCTTGACTCCAAGGCCACATCCATCATCTACAATGCTAAGTGGCCTTTTCCCACTGAAGCTTACCTGTCCTGAATTTCATATCCTTAAGGACCTTAAATCTTTCTAAGATGCCATAATTCCTTTCTCATCTTATTTAAAGGAAAGCATTCTTTAGAAACAATGTTCTCACTTGTGTGGACTAACCAAACGTCCGATTCTGATGGTGAACATTTTTGGATATGTAAATGGGGAGAGCAATGAGGCACAGACTTTTTAGTAGAAAGGGTATGACAACACCCTTCAAATCACACTGTGGGGCACCTATTCCACCTATACATAGGGCAAGCTTCTGTGAAGTACATTTCAAAGCTATATTGCATGTATTTCTCTTCTGGATAGATATTTTGTTGTTCAACAGACTGAATTCTGGGTCTTGTATACTTTCTGTGGTCCTAAACAAACCCCTCAATTTATTATTTCTTTTCTTTTCTTTTCTTTTTTTTTTTTGCTTTTTAGTGACGCAATTGGGGTTAAGTGACTTGCCCAGGGTCACACAGCTACTAAGTGTTAAGTATCTGAGGCCAGATTTGAACTCAGGTTTTCCTGACTCCAAGGCCTGAGCTCTATCCACTGCACCACCTAGAGGCCCCTCAATTTATTATTTCTAAAAAAGAGAATGCTGTTGTCTCACTAAAGAAGAGCCTGAAAAATCAATAAATTTTAACTTATTTTGAAAATGAAAAATGCTAAATTTATGGACAATATCATGTCTAAAAACCTTACTATTCAGAATTTGTGATAATTTAGAAAGGGTAAAGTTGGCTTAAACTTATCTATGAAGAAAAGACTTTACCAAGGAAATTGGCAACATAACTAAGATTTCAATGAGGTTGCCTAGGTACTTAGAATTCATAAAAAATACTTCAGAATTAAAAGAAATCCTAGAAATTATATAGTCCCTCTCATTTTACAAATGGGAAAACTAGGCTTAAAGAGATCAAGTAACCTGTGCAAGGTCATACATAGGATAAGTTAACCTCAAAACAGGGACTGAACTGGAGCAGGACTCCTGACTTCCATACAGACGTCTTCCTACTATATCTACTGTCTCCTGGTTAAGAAGATCATTTTCAAATACCTTAGTGATATTAATTATACACAAACCATGTAATTGCAAAAGAACCCCTCATACTGTATAAACTAGTGTTTTCTGTTAAGGGACATTTAGTAGCCTAGTTCAGAGTACTTATTACACTTCTTTAAAAAAAAATTCGAATTTTCACTAATTCTGACAACTCTTCCCCTTTCAATACCCCTTGGTGTAATTTCTTCTGGAAATAGAATTATGGGCTGAGGAAGTGCCTAAGGCCATACTCAGAAAAGAACTCAATCAAGGCATGCCCAATGGCAAAGAAGAACCAGTTCTAACACTACCATACTTGAAGGAAGGTAACTGCTTCAGAAGAATTGGTCATTTCTGAGGCATTCTGGGATATCTCAATGAAGACTACTATTTAAAAAAAAAACCTTGGCTATTTGGGATTACATAGAAGTGTGACATCAGTCAATCAACAGCAATTATTAAGTAATTACTAAGTGTCAGGTCCTGGGTAGGGGTGCTAGGGATGTGAAGATAAAAATGAAAACAGGCCTGGCCCACAAAAAGTACATATGTATTCTATCAGGGGAGATGTGTACACACATACACACATGCACAAATGATAATTTTTGGGGAGATGTGCTAACAGAGGGGATCTGGAACAGGTTCATGTAGGAAGTGGCACATGAGCTGAGTTCTGAAGGAAATAAGGAATTCTAAGAGGCAGAAGCAAGGAAGAAGGACATTCTAGACATGGGGGCAGCTAGTGGATCAAGAGAGAGAAGACAAAGAGTGCTGTATGTGGGGAAGAGCAAGAACAACTTGGCTGGACAGCAGAGTGCTGTGAAGGCACAGAATATATAAAACAGGAAAAGTTGGGGCCAAGTGGTTAACACGTTTAAATGTGAAAAAGAGGTTTTTATTTTATCCTGGAGACAACAGGGAGCCACTGGAGTTTAGGGGAGTGACACAGACAGACCAATGTTTCAGGAAAATCACTTCAGCAGTTGTGTCGAGAATGACTTGAGGTAGGGAGCCAATCAGAAGGCTACTTAAAGAACACAGACCTCAGCTGACTGTAGGCCTGAACAAGAGGAGTTGCTGTGTGAGTAGAGGGAAGGGGATAGATGCAAGAGATGTTTGTTGTGGAGGCAGAAATAGCAAGATACGACAACTGACTGGATGACTGAGTGGAGTCCAGGATGACACCAAGTTTTAAACCCAGGTGGCAGGAAGAATGGTGGTGCCTTCAACAGAAACAGAAAAGTTTAGATGGGGTTAGGGTGTTGGAGTAAGTGTTGAGCAGAAGGATGAGTTCAGTTTTGGACATGCTGAGTTTGAAATGCCTTTGGCATACCCAGTCTGAAATGTCAAACAGGCAGATGGTGATTAGAAAATGAAGAAAAACGAGGATCAGATATATAGATTTGGGAGTCATTCCCACAGAGATAAGTGTCTTTTTTTTTTTTTGAGGCAATCAGGCTTAAGTGACTTGCCCAGAGTCACACACATTTGAACTCAGGTCCTCCTCCTGACTCCCCAGGCTGGTGCTCTATCCACTTCTGACACCTAGTTGCCCCATGATAAGTGTCTTGAAAATGCCTGTGTCCTTACAAGTGTTGTTCTCTCTTTACTTCCTGTGCCTTGCAACATTTCTGGAATTTTGCAGAGGTGAACAAACAATTTGTGACACTGCTCCCCCAACCTACTCTTACCATATCACTGTGACATACATTATGATTTGTTTATACCTCTTTTACATTGTTTTCCCTTAGCAGATGGAAGGGAATGACTATTCTTTTGTTTCTTTTTGCATGTTGTAAGGAAACATAAGATGAAGAGGCAACAAATTTCGTTTCCTTCTGCTCTGAAATTATTATGACCTTTCTAACATTTTATTGCTACGAAAATAGTCCTTTCCAAATTATTCTCCTATTAGTGCTATAGAACTTTTACTTTCAAACTTGGAAGGTTTTTTGAAATAAATGTGTATTTTCCCATGATAACCTGACAGATTTGCACATTGAGAGGGAATGACATGTGGTTCAGAAATTTATTTGGGAATCTAAAAAATGTCTGTAAATTTACCTGTCATCCTAAAATTAGAAAATGGCTGTAACATCTAAAATGTGTCCAATTGCTTACATTTGTCCTTAGAAAGATAAATCTCATTCCACATTTGAAAGTGATCTTTTCCTTCTCAAAACTTTTTTATGTCTCTTTTCTTACATTTTGACTTCAGGAATTCATAGATGCAGAGGTAGAAAGGTCCTCAGAAATGATGTTATCTAATCCTCTCATTATATAATTGAATTAAGCTCCACCCAGATTCACACAGGTAACTAATAAATGTTGCTTCAGTCATTTCAGTTGTGTCTGGCTCTTTGTGACTCCATTTGGGGTTTTCTTGTTAAGAGTGGTTTGCCATTTCCTTCTCTAACTCATTTTACAGATGAGGAAACTGAGACAAACAGGTTTAAGTGATTTGCCCATCACACAGCTAGTAAGTATCTGAGGTCAGATTTGAACTCACATAGATGAGTCCTCCTGACTTCAGCCCCAGCACCTACCCACTGCACCACTTCACTGCCCATAATTAATAACTAGCAGGGACAAAATTTGAATCCAGGTCCTGATTGCAAATCTAGTGCTCCTTGTACAACATGCTTCCTTTGCACTTATCATTTTCTCCTTTGCATCATAATTAATACCTTTTTAGCAAACTCTTTAAGGATAGGAAACAGTATCATTTTTTTAATCTTCATAGATCCACCACCAATCACAGAGCCTTACAAATAGTATAAGCTTAATAAATCTTGGCTGAAATTAAGAGAAATAATTTTGCTGGTGTTACTAACTTTCCATCCTTTGTTCTCCTTATAAAACCTTGTTTGGTCTATTTGTCTCTCAGTAAGAATATTCAAAGAGACTCGAAAAGAGAAAAATAAATTTCACTAAAAAACCTTCAAGAAATAACTGAATTAGCACTTTTCACATCTAAGTACCCCGATCTAGTTTTCAGAGGCTTACAGGGGAGCACTGAGCATGGCAATCTACCAGAAAGGAGGGAAACTACATTTAAAATGGCAGGACTACCAGGGGATCTTTATTTTACTAATCAAAGGAATGGGAGAGGGGGATGGAAATTCCCAGTAAACATGGCATTTATAACTAGACAGACAAGTTGTCTAAAATGCTTGCCACAAACTGCTTTGAAAGTCTGACCAACTGATAGACTGAGCGTGAAATTTAGAATCTCTCTAGTCTCCTACTTTGAATATATTTCCACTTTTATTAAAATGATGAAGGAACTCAGAGACAGCAACAAAACAGAAGGCAATGAACTCTCTTGTGAATCATAAAATAAAGAGAAAAAAATCAGAATCAACTACCTTTAAATCATCTAGGAATTCAATGTCCTTCTTCTGTATTGCTTTATCTGTCCAGACTAAGGCACTATAAGTCTTAGTCTTCACTTCTTCACCTTCTTTCATATGTCCTATTGCTTCTCTAAACAAAATGAACAAAAACACTGTTACCAACATGTATAGGATACAGTGCAGTCCAGCCCAAACATTTTTCTAAAAAGCATCTACAAAGACTTGACCCCTTACCTGGTAACAAGCTGCAAGTCTCGAACTTGGATTTTGTCTGAAGAGATGTTGATTTTCTGAACAATGGAAGTAGAAAATAATTAGTGAGCCATTCCACTAGAAAGCTAGAGACATGACTAGTTCCATGTCACTGATGCATTTACCTGCTGAAGTTCTTTGATGTCTCGTGAGGTGAATTGGACTCTCCGAGGATTCACCAGTTCAACTGCAAAGGGCCTTCCTGGCAGCAGAGAAACAACCAAGTTGTTGGAGTTAACATATGGATTAGTGCAAGAGGTCTGGGAGCTGTAAACAACAGGCCAAACTTGAGGGGCCTGAGAGTTAGAGACAGAACTAGGATTACAAGAAGCACAGAGTGTGCGAAAAGAATCAAAAGGGTTTGTTTGGTGGCAAAATTCAAGGATTAGTAATGAGTGAAAAGGAATCATTTCTTGCTCCAAGGGCTCTGTGAATAAGCCTGAATAAGCTCTCTGAATAAGAAAACAGCTAACCATCCTAGTTTTTGCCACCAGGTAACAATGCTTTCAAACCCAACTCCATCAAGGAAACATCTTTTGAAAAGGCAAAGCTCATTTCAAGAGATTCAGGGTCTGCCATGGGGATGGCTCTGGTAAAACCAATTTTCATCATCTTTGCATCTCTTATGTCCTAGTGGAAGTCCAGACAAATGCTTCTGATGTCACTGGTCCTTTTCTAGAACAAAGGACAAACAGCAACAATGAAATGAAAGACAGGAGATGTAATGGAATACAGCAATTTCTTGGGAGAAATTTTTATTTTGGAAAATGTTCCAGTTTTGGTGAAATGTTTGCTAAATGGAAGAAAAGCGATAACAAACTGATAGGAGGTATGTCAAATTCTCTAGTACCTTGCTCTTATGAAATGGTCAAGTAATAAAGATTTACTTGATAGAACTTAAGATTGCTGTTAAGAATTTTACAAAAAGTCAAATTAAAAGGATGTTAATTACAATTGGTCTGAAATGATAAAGCTGAGATAATATAAAAGCTTTAGGCCAGTGGTGGTGTTAGATTTAAATAACTATTTCACTTCTATTTGCCAAAAAAAAAAAGGCTCATAGTCATCTTTGAGGATGGGCTGAATGAGTTGATAATATTCCATTCTTACCATTTCCTAATGTTCTAACATCCACATCTTCTCTTCCAGATGATGAAAAATTAAAACCTTTTGAAAAGAGAGGCAGAGAACAATTCAGAGATTCCTGACCTTTTAAAGGCTCTGGTTTCCAACCTTATCATAATAACAACAACAACAACAACAACAACAATAATAATAATAACAACAATAACAATAATAAATAACAGTTATATATTGGTTTGTTTGCAAAAGCACTTTACATAAGTATTATTCCCATTTTACATTCAGAAAATTTCTCCCTGACAGAAGTGGGAGAAAAACCCATTAATTGGACATATTTTCCCTCTCTGGTTTTAGTTTAGTTGAAAAGTAAGGTTGTCTGGGGCAGCTAGGTGGCAAAGTGGATAGAGCACCAGCCCGGGAGTCAGGAGACCTGAATTCAAATCCAGCCTCAGACATATAACACTCACTAGCTGTATGACTCTGGGCAAGTCATTTAACCTCAATTAACTCACAAAAAAAAAAGAAGCTTGTCATCTCATCTAATTAGCTAAGAAGTAGGAAAATGAGACTTAATTACTGTCAATAGTGAATAAAATATTTCAGAAAACAGACTAAGATCTAAAAGTCTTAACTCAGAGCCATCTCAAAGATGGTAGCTCTGATTTCCAATGTGGCTTTTTTGATGACTTTTAACATTTAAGCTGGAATCACAGAAAGGAAAAACTCTTCAATCCTCCATCTTGCTATTTGGGGAGAGAGGTACCTAGGCAATGCTTCATGAAGGAAGGGAAGCAATCAAGAAGGTCAGAAAGACCACTGAGGCTGGTGGGTATATAATGAACTCATAAAACAATCCACTCCCATCCATTATCCCCAAAGCAAAAATCTCAGAACACTCCTTGAGAAACTGTTCACAGATAGCAGCCTGAGTAGAGTGCCAAGACCTTACTCACTTACCAGCTTTGTAAACCTAGGCAAGTCACTTAACATGTTTGCCTCAGTTTCCTCAACTGAAAGATGGGAATATTAACAGCACCCATTTGACAGTGTTGTTCTGAGGAGGATTAAATGAAATATTTGGACAATGCTTAACACAGTTCCTGTACACAGTAAGTACTATATTGAATCTCTCTCTCTCACCTGCTTTCAGTACAGCATAAAATCACCTTGAAGGTTGAGAGCTTAAAAAGTAGAAATTAAAGGTTAAAGTACATTACTCATTTTTGTTCCTTTTTAGGCTTTAGGGATGAAAAGTATAATTTGTGTATACTTTGAAACAAATGACAAGAAGTTTTAGGGCAATCCACATGTCTAATCAAAATCTAATTTGTCAACGGAAAAAAACCACCAAAAATTCAAATATTTACGTTGGAAAAAACTGCAAGGAGAAAACATAAAGCTACTTAAGGAGGTACCAACAACTCTGGAGGCAAAAAGAAGCTTCCCTACAACCCAAATATTCAGAACTGTATATTTCCAGATTCTTCTTATAGAGGGGAAGACTGAAAGAAATATTCTGCTCTAAAACTTTATTTTTACTTCCTCAAAACTTTACAAAAATATCTTTTTGGTTGAGTTAACAGGCAACCATAACGGTTTCAAAGGTCCCAGGGCTGGAAGCTGTTACAACAGTAAGTAAAAGTCATGGCAACCAAGTTCGTCTCTCTGGGTTTTACCTGGGTACCAGGCATCCTGCCAGGCTCTGGGCCCTCACAAAGCTCACATGTTAGCAAGGAAGACAACATGGACAGAGAACATACAAAGCAGGCACCAGGTAATGATGGAGGAGAAGATGCTAGCACCCTTTTCTGGGGGCCCAGGAAAGGCCTCATGGGAAACCAGGGACTCTACGAGGGGAAGGTGAGCAGAGACAGCACTCCAGGCATAGGAAGGGTAGTTGTGTCTGTGAGCAAAAGCAAGGCCTAAATGGCTGGACCACATAGCGTACGGAGAAGACCAAAAAAGCAGGATGGGTCCGGACTGTACTGAGCATTAAATGACAAACAATTAAATAATCAACATGTATTTATTAACGTGATATGGTTCAGGAATGGTCACAGCTGAAGAGGAGAATAATATCCTAAGAATCCCTGGAAGAGAAAACATTCATGGCAGCAGAGGGGTCAAGAAGGACAAAGGGCTAAGAAAAGACCATCAGATATGGCAATTAAAAGATTGCTGGTAACTCTGGAAATCAGCTTCAGTGAAGTGACCATGCTGCAAAGGGCAGAGGGGTGAGTGAAAGTGGAGCAAGTAGAAGCTATAGTTACAGATGGCTCTTTCTAGAAGGCTAGCTTTGGAAAATGACCACCTCATTAACTGAGAGTGTGGGAAAGGAAAAGAGAGGAGGCCATGATGTCAAGGCACTCTGAGATAAAGGGAAGTGGGGAAGAGGGAGTTCCTAGCAAGTGCCTTCTATATTCTCCATAAAGCCAGACGCAAATGCTGACTAGGAAGGGAAATGTGGGAGGCTTAAGGAGGGAAGGTGTGAATGGTATCTAGGAAACAAGAGAGGAAATCAAGTAAGGAAGAGTGCCTTGCTGTAGTGACAGCCCAGTCAAATTTGTTTAATATGAATTCACACTGTCAAGTCAGCACCACTGTGCAACCACACCCAGGACCAGCTAACAGTAGCAAAGAAGATTTTAGCGATGGGGTTTGGCAATAGGATTAGGGGATAAGGAATTCAATGGTAGAGAATAACGTAGAGCTAAATTGGTCAATTATGTTGTGATACAGGAGAAAACAGAAGAGGTTGGAGCAGGGGTAATGACCTGAGAAAGCACCAAAGACCGGAAGGGCTGGAGATAATGATGGAAATGAAGAGTAAGCTTGGGGGAGATGAGGCAGAGGGTGAGATAGGATGGTAGGAGGTAAAGGTAAGACAGGGGAATGTCACTTTTATATTAAGAAAGTAAAACGCCTGTGAGAAATGGTAAGACATAGGCTCTGACCATCCCCATGTGTGACTGAGGTAGTATGAAGAAATAGATTTTAATGAGATTGAGGAATTAGGAGGTTCAGTTGTTTGAGGGAGCATACTCCTGAAGTCCCCTAGAATAAGGATAGAAATTGGAGAGAAAAGGAAGTTGATAAGCCAGGTGCTAAATTCTTTAAAAAAGGAGAAAAAGGGTTGGAAATCTTTACAGTTAATTACCCTTCAAAACAGTGGAGGATGCTGACTGACAGCAGTAAAGGATGCCTCTCAAGTAGCAGGGGAAGCAAGGAGTAGTCTAACTACCCATGTGTTGTGGGTATAAGTGAAGGGACAGCTATGGTGGAGATTCTGGCCAAGAATGAGGTGTCATAGGGTGGAAGTCAGGTGAGAAAATGTGGGTAGTAGGAATGAGAGAGAATGAATGGAACAGAAAGGAATTCAGCTCAGAATGAAAGGAAGTTGGTTCATTATGGAACAGGAACTCCAGAATTCCCAGGGGAAGGGGAATGGGGAGATCGGAGTTGAGGAGGATGGCAGGTTTGGGGACAGTTTGCTCCCAGGTCAGACTCCATTAACTGAGAACAGGCATTGTTTGTTTTTAGCTTCTCTTTTTATCCTTAGCTTTTAGCACATTACCTAGGCACAGAGCAGTCACCTCTTTAAATATATGAAGTGAATGACTAGGTGGCTACTGATAAAATACTATTGGGTTAAGGAAAGAAGTGGTGGGAGCATGTCAAGCATAGGGGTACTGGTGAGTGGCAGATTAATCATAATGCTCACAGTCTTGAAGGGCTATGGATGTCAGTCAAGTACAAGAGCACTTCTCCAGTGTTAGGGCAGAAGGGGCAGTGCCACATCTATGTCACTCGGTGTAGAGGAGTACACCAGGGATTGCCTTGGTTGGGGTTGCTCCTGGCCTGCTCCTCTGATATGGCTGAGTGGGGGCAATGGATGAGCAATGCAGCATCAGGATTTCCCTCTACCCACCCCTTCCCTGATATCAGAGGGTGCTGGGCAGGACCTGAGTCAGAGAAGTTTATATTTGATCCTAGAAGTAATAGTAAGCTGCTGAGTTTGCATGTGTCTGGGGAGATGGAGGGGAGGGGTGTATGTGACATGTTCAGATCTGCATTTAAGGAAAGTCATTTTAGAGGCTACATGGAGAATGGACTGGAGTAGGGAGAGATATGAAGCTGAAAGATCATCTAGATACCCAGAGCCCAAAGACCAGTGTCCTATGCAGGGATCATAGAATCAAAGTATTCATCTATTGGAAGGAACCTCAGAGGCCACATCTAATACTCTCATGTTTACAGATAAGTAAACTGAGGTCCAGAGAGCCTAAGTAACTTATTAGGACTTGAACTCAGGTCCTAAGATTCCAAAAGTAGTGTCAGTCATAATTTTAGCTTATATAAATGCAATTTAAATTGGGAAAATTAGAACACTCACTCTCAGCTTTAAATACTGTCAACAGCTGACTGGAAATCAATTCTTCCACCGAGGACTCCAGTTTTCTTTCTCCATCAATTATCCAGGGAGTTTGTGGTAAATTTCTGGAGTATTTATTATATCTTCCTACAAACAAAAACAAATGAAATATGCTTATAAAAATAACAGAATAACTATAAAATTGATATTTACTGAGCATCTACTATGCTCAAGGTGCTGTATTAGGAATGCAAAAAGGTATAATATAGATGTGGTAAAGAAATTTACATACAAAGTATAAACATGTAAGAAAATGAAAAACCTATTTCAATAAAGATTCAAAGACAATAGTCTTTTTTTTTTTTGTACAGTTTTCTCCCTTGGTCTAAGCCAGTGGTGGGGAACCTATGGCCTCGAGGCCCTTTGACTGAATTCAAACTTCATAGAACAAATGCCTTTAACAAAAGGATTTGTTCTGCAAAACTAGGACTCAGTCAAAAGGCCACACCTAAAGACCTAGAAGGCCACTAGTGCCTAGAGGCTGCAGGTTCCCCACCCCTGGTCTAAGGTCTCTACAATTCAACCACCCTAAAATTTAAGTAGGCAGCTAGGTGGTATAGTGGATTGACAGCCAGACCTGACTCATCTTCATGAGTTCAAATCAGACTTCAGATACTTATTAGCTATGTGACCCTTGGCAAGTCACTTAATCCTCTTTGCCTCAGTTTCTCATCTGTAAAATGAGTTGAAAAAGGAAATGGCAAACTACTGCAGTATCTTTGCCAAGAAAAACTTGAATGGGGTCACAGAGAGTTGGACAGAGCTGAACAACTCAACAACAGAAACTTTAGTCTTCCTAAAGAATAAGAATCATCACACCACTCTTGAGCTCAAAAGCTCTCTTAATGGCTCACCCTGAGATCTAGAGAAATTAATTGACCTTCTCAAGGTAACCCGAACAACGAAAAATGGGAAGATTTCCATAGGTGGTTCATCTGTTTAGTCCTGTTTCTCCAACCACACTCAAGCTGCTTGAGGGTAAGGTACTGCTGTCAAAGCCTCACGGTGCCATGTCTTATGTGAAAGCCTCACAGCACCAAGTCTTATGTGAACTATAAATATCTGCTGACTGGATGGACAGAGGTACAATTTAACATCTAAGCCCACAAAAGCAATCATCTGCCCTATTCCTTGGTCAGTATCTTCACTGCAACTCTTTGTGGCAGGACGGCATTATATAAAAGTCCTAATAAAGAACATAAGGGTTTTTTTGGTTGTTGGTCTTAATTTAAAAAACAAAAGCAAAACTAACAGGAACATGATTCAGACTTAGATGAATCATCAAACAGAACGGACTGAAATGCTCTATAATTGCTTCAAGACTGGGTGTTAAGGTAGCATTTTCATTTTAAGCCCGTTATTAGATGCCAGCAATTTTCTTTACCAAAAAAGAAAAAGAAAAAAAAAAGAAAGAAAAGAAAGGCCTAATGAGATGTTTTCTCCCTTGGTGTTAACACTTTTATTTTCCTAGACTTCAGGGACTAATCAGTACATCAAAAAGTTTTTCTGGAAGAAGTTGAACTACTTGCCATGCCAGAGTTAATAAAATATGAGAAAAATGTCTTTCACTTCTCCCAGCTCTCCTGCATTCTTCCTCCTGTCTAGTTTTATATTGTTCTAAGTGTCCAACATTAGGCCTTCATTTGGCTGTCACAGACACTTTTACTCTACTATAACTTTTTTATACTTCATGTCACTTAAGAAAATTAACCTATCCATCAACTAGGGAATGGCTGAACAAGTTGTGGTATATGAATGTAATAGAATACTATTGTGCTATAAGAAATGATCAACAGGCTGACTTCAGAAAAAACCTGGAAAGATCTGTATGAACTGCTGCTGAGTGAAGTGAGAAGAACCAACAGAATGTTGTACACAGTAACAGCCACGTTGTGTAGTGACTAACTTTGACAAATTTAGCTCTTCTCAGCAATGCAAAGATCTAAGACATCTCCAAAAGTCTCATGATGGAAAATATTATCCATATCCAGAGAAAGAATTATGGAGTTTGAATGCAGATCAAAGCATACTATCTGCTCTTTTTTCCTTCTGTTTTGTTTCTTCTTTCTTGTGGTTCCTCCTATTGGTTTTAATTCATCTTTATAACATGACTAATGTGAAAATGTTTAATAGGAAAGTATATGTAGAAGTCTGTATCAGATTGCATGCCATTTTGGGGAGGGAGGCAGAAAAGGAGGGGGAGAAAATTTAAAACTCAAGAGCTTATGGAAGTGATTGCTAAAAACTAAAAATAAATTAATTAAAAAAAGAAAATTAACCTAAATTAATTTGTTTTAAAAGTGCACAGAATATAAACTTACCTTTTAAAAGTTCAACTATACTTATCATTTCTAATTCTCTGAAAATTATTTAAAAAGCTATTCAGAATCTGGTGATAGCAACAATAATAAAAGCCTGAGGACTCAGGAGGCAATTCTATTTTCTGGAAAGGACAGACACTTAATGTGAATATAGCTCATATTAAATACTCACCAGCTACAAAGACTGCACCATGAGCACATTCAATTTCAACAGCAGAGCAAAAACTCTTTGGTGAATTTGGAGGACAAGGAAACTTCCTGAAAAATAAAGGAAAAAAAAAACCTGTCATGACTACTACTTTCAGGACAGGAGGCTGAATCACACAACCGAGATGAATCAGAACACATTCTGAGTCAGTATGTTTTGAAGTTGCACAAACAAAAGATAAATTTTTAACATGTGGGGGTGCTAACTTACTAAACCAAGGAGACTAGGTCTGTAAAGATATAACTCCTCTTCAGTTCATGGAGTTCAAAGTAAAGTTGTAGAGAATCTCAAGATCATTTATCTGCTCTGTGAGCTGGGCAAAGGCCCTGCCTTACCTAGCTCTTGAACGAACAGTTAAATCAGATGACTTTTGGACTGCAGAGGAAAGGAGGCAAGAGTTTTCTGCCCCTATTCTCTTCCTTTCCTTCTCCTCAGCCTCAGAGATAGAGGATTAGTCCCAGTGACATAAATGATTCAACTTGGAGAGAAAGTGAGGCAGACTGCTCTCTTTCCTTTTTCTCTCCTAAGCCTCTAAAACATGATCTCAGATACCAGTTAAGACTGTGAAGGAACTGGGAGAGAACAATGCTCTATCTTCCACATTTAAAAGAAAAACAATCACTAAAACCGGATCTTACCTACAGAGATAATGACTGTAAAATGCTCAGCACAGTGCCTTGCACACAGTAAGTGCTGTATAAATGCTTATTCTCTCCTCCTTCCCCTCCCTTATCCCACAGAGCCCCAGATATTGAATAGCATCAGAGTCCCCATATGGTTTGAAAAGGTTCATACCACTCCCCAACTTGATTTAATCAGCAAATATTTAGGTTCTGGGAAACTATAGCTTACACAAATAAATTGTCATCAAGTTTTTAAATGGAATAAAAATAATCATTTATAAGAAACTTCCTTAGATTCTGAAATATAATCATCCTGGAAAAATCTTTACTTTTTAATTGTCTGCAGTCTCATTAAAAATAACATATTTTCTGGAAAGATCACTAAGATGATCATTTAATTTTAAGAGAAAATTCATGCAATAGTAGTATTTAAACCAGTAAAAAAAAATACTGTAAGACTTTTAATGAATCAGATTTTAGCAATTAAGGAAGATCATGTGATTCCCATTGCTTTTTTCTTCCCTACCAAAGAGCTGGACAACAGTAGGAAATGCAGATTAATTGTGGTGTCATGGAAAAAGAAAAATGCAAGTTAGGAGACGCGGGTTCTAGTAATACTGGTACCACTGTGTAGCAGATAGGGCACAGACTTAAAGTCAGGAGGAGCTGAGTTCAAATTCTCCCTCAGACACTATTAGTTATATGACTGGAAAAGTCACTTAACCTACCTGGGTCTCATTTTCCTTATCAGTAAAAAAGGGAGTTACGTTAGATGGCCTCTAAGAAACCTTACAACTCTGATCCTGTGATCCATTTTCGATTACTAAAATCAGCACTGGCTCAGGAAAGACCAGAGTTCAAATCCTACCTCAGATACTTACTAGCTGGATGACCTGGGCAAGTCACTACACCTCCACCTGTCTCTGTTTCATTGTCCTAATTTGTTAATGAGGGGGTTGGAGTCAACCGTCCCTTTCAGCTTTAAGCCTATGATCTTACTGTCCTTGCTCTGCCACGAACTATCTGTATTTATCTTGGGAAAGTAACTTCATTTTCTCTTTTATAAATGGAAAGGTTGGACCAGATGGCCTCTTCAGCTCTAATAAACTATGTTTCCTCTCAGATTCTATACTTATACATACTTGCGGAAATCTTCTTCTTTTATTTTGTCCAAAGCTTTCACAACTGCCATTCTAGTGAATACAGACTACAGAGGAAAATGAAAATAAGAGAAATGAAAATAGAGGCAAAATAAAGTATGACTGGAAAAATTATGTACATTTATATCACATAAAGGGCGAATATCTGAAAAATTTAACAGATGTATGAATATTAAAGCAAGTATGCAAACAATGCATCTCGAAACTTCTACCACTTTTCACGAATGGACTACTTTTTCTCTTAAGTGACAGATTTATCATCTAACCAGATCCTTCACCTTAAATTAAGAATTTCCTGAGGTACCTTTCAGTTAGTACTTTTTTCCCTAGTCCAACTCTCGTACACCATGTATATTTGGTGAGTTAATTTCTTGGTACAGGAGGAGGTGGATGTACATTACAGGAAAATGGATTACAGTGGTATAAACCCATCACCACCATCATAGTATAAGTGGGTAAAGCAGTCACAGACAAACTGAGCAAATCAATGGAAAATTCAATTGTACTGCACAAAATAGTAACAGTCCAAACATTCTCTATTCTCTTCTAAAGTTTTATTAATGCCCTTTGTTTCTATATCACATTCATTCCCCCCTCCCACCCTCCTTTACTCCTCAATTAAGGGACCAAAGAAATATAAAGAAAACACTTATGCGAAACTTCTGACTTGGTCTGAGAGTATGCACAATAGCCCACACTTGTAGTCTCATCTAACTAAGGAACCTGCATTCTTTCATATACCTTCTCTGGGACCAAATTTGGTCACTATAATTACACAGCACTCAATTTCATTTTATTATTCTTTTTCATTATATTGTTATCATCAATGTATTTTTAATTTGGTTACACTCATGCTAAGTCATCCCACATTTCTCTAAATTCCTCTTTTTCTGTTTCTTACATTGCAATATTACTCAACTGCATTGATTTATCACTATTTAGCCAAATCCACACCATTTCAAATTCTGTTACCACAAAAAACTGCTGCTATGAATAGCTGGTGTATCTGCTGTTTTTTATCTCATTGAGGTATGTGCTCAGCAATGTGATTTCTTGGTCTGAAAGTATAGACATTTTAGTTACTTTGTATAGTTCCAATTGTTTTCCTGAATGGTTACACCAATTTCACAGCTCCACCAAGAGTTTATTAGTGCACCTGTCTTCACATGGCCCTCTAACACAGACTACTTTTCTTTTTATCATTTTTGCCAATTTTCTGTGATATGAAATCTCACAAGTTGGTTTGATTTGCATTTGTTTGATTTAAGGCAATCATTTGTATGACTGTAATTAGTTTGTGACCTTTACTTCAAGGATTGCTTATTTATATATCCTTTGATCATGCATCTTTTGGGAATGGCTTTTGATCTTTCATATTTGTATTAATTCCCTTTACGTCTTATTTACCAGACCTTTGTTATAACAGAGACATTAGATGCAAACATTTTTTCAACAAGTTGCCCTTCTTATCTTAGCTATACAGATTGTACAAAAATTTTTGTTTTGTGTAATTAAACCTGTCAGTGTTCAACCTTATGTGATTTTTCCTATGTCATGTTTCACTGAAAATTCCCTCTTTTATCAGAGTTGTAAATTTACTTCTATTTTTTCATTTTCCTCTAAATTTTTTTTAAGTTAAGTTTGCCCATTCATTTGGAACATATTGCATATGGTGTCAGCTGCTGATCAAAACCTGTATTTTTTTGTGATCTGCTTTGTGGTTTTCCCAACTGTTCTTATCAAACTGAGAGTTTATATTCTCTGGGAAGGGAATAAGCATCTATTAGGGGCCTACTATATATCAGGCACTGTGCTAAGTACTTTTACAGATATTATCTCATTTAATCTTCAAGTTATTGAAGACTGGCTTTACTGAGTTTGACTTTTTGTGCCTGTCTACTTTGTTCCAATAATCTACTTTTCTATTTCTTTAGCCAATCCCAAATACTTTGAGAATTATAACTTCATAGTATAATCTGAGGTATAGAACTGCTACTTCTCTTTCATTCTCACTTTTTTCTTTTTTTCTACTTACTACCCTTGAGTTTCTACACCTTTTGAAAGTCTAGAGTTTCTTAAGTCTGAGGACCTGGGCTCAAATCCTGCCACTGACACTACATGTGTAACATTGGTCAAATCATTTAACATGACCTGGATTTCTCTTTTCTCATGTGTAAAATCTGGGGGTTAGACTAAATGACCTCTCAAGTCCCTTCTAGCTCTAGATTTATGATTCTATGATCTATAAACTGTTTTGTATCACTTTAATTATATTTGTGTGAACCAATAATAAGCAACAATATTTCTGCAATTATATAAGTTATAACTGTTTTATGCCTTTAGTGTATCTCAGTAGATGACTCCGAGGTATTTTATATGTTTCATAGTTTTTTGAATGTGATTTCTCTGTGTTTTTCCTTCTGGCTTCTGATCTTACTATTCAAAAATGGTAAAATATTTTGCGGATATATTTTGTATCTTGCTACTTTAATCAAGCTGTTGTCACAATTATTTTGCAGAGTCTCTGGGGTTTTGTAAGTAAACCATACCATTTGCAAACACAGATAATTTCATCTGCTCTTTGCTGATGTGTCTGCCTTTAGGGCCTTTATTTTGCCTTCTGTCCAACATTTCTACAACTATGACAACAGAATGTTTTGATAATGTTTTATCTTGTTATTTACTGGGAAAGTTTTTGGCATTTCTCCATTATAAATAATGCCAGCTTTTGTTTTGAGATATATACTTTTAATCATTGTAGAAAAAATGCCCTGCCAGGCCTATGATTTTTAGAGCCGTTGGCATAAGTGATTGTTGTATTTTGTCAAAGGTTTTCTTAGCATTCATTGATAAAATCATGTAATTTTTTGTTTTGTTTTTAATATTAAAAAAAATGAACACAATTCATAGTGAAACATCCTTGTACTTCTAATTTGATTATAGTGAATATGACCAAGAAAACCAAGAAGATTCTGGGTTTGACTCTGTGACCTTAAGCAATATCTCTTTGCCTCAGTTTCCTGATTTGAAACATGGGAGGGAAGAGGGTTTGGAATTTACGGCCTTTAAGGTCCCCCCAGCTCTGAACCAATGATCTTACAGATAATTTCTTGGACATACTACTGCAGCCTTTTTGTTATGTTTTATTTAAAATCTTTGCATTAAAATTCATTAGAGATACTGGTCTAGTTCCCTCTGCTTGGTTCATCTCTGATTTAGGTATCAGGATTATATTTGTCTAGGAGTTTGGTAGAGCACTTTCTTAATTATTGAAAATAAATTATGTCACATAATTATTAATTACTCTTTAAATATTTAAAAGATTTCACTGGTAATCTAGAGATTTTTTTCTTTGGTACCTGGGTTCAAGGATTTATTTAATCATCTAAAACTGGGCTGAGATCTCTATTTCATATTCTGTTAACCTACGTAGTTTGAATTTTTGTAGGTGATCCATCATTTCCTTTAAATCTTCAGTTTTGCTAGAATATATCTGTAAATAGCATATCTGATAACTCCATTAAAGTCTCTATTAGTTGTGAATTTACCTTAATTTCTTTTTATCTTGGCAATTTGATTTTCCTCTTTTTTTGATCAGTTCAACTAAAGAGTTATCCACGAAGTTAATATTTTCCTTAATTTTTTTTACTGATATCTTTTTTTATACAACCTATATTTCTCAGAAGGCCATTCTTTACAATAAAGGATAAAAAAAGAGAGGGGGTTGTTTACTAAACAACATATCAAAACAAACAAACAAAAAAGTCTGACATTGTATGTAGTGTTCCATACGCATAACTCCTGACTTCTGCAAAGAATCAGGGCCAAGTTATCTTCTCATCTCCTCTCTGGAGCTAAATATAACTATAATATCTTTTCAGCAATCCATTTCAATTGTTTCATTCTTTCAACTTACATTGTTGCAGTCATTGTATATATTATTTTTCTGGTTCTGCCTACTTCATTCTGTGTCAATTTCCTGTAAGTCTTCTCATGCCTCTCTGTATCCATCGTAGTCATGGTTCTTTAAAGCACAGTCATATCCATTATATCTCATGTTGTTGTTTCATCGTTTCTAGTCGTACCCGACTCTTTGTGACCCCATTTGGGGTTTTCTTGGCAAAGACACTAGAGTGTTTTGCTATTTCTTTTTCCAGTTCATTTTATAGATAAGGAAACTGAGCCAAACAGGGTTAAGTGATTTGCCCAGGGTCACACAACTATTAAATATTAAATAAAATCTGAGGCCAGGTTTTAACTCAGAAAGCTAAGTCTTCCTGACTCCAGACCCACCACTCTATTCACTGTGCTACTTAGCTGTCCTTACATTCATGTACCACCCCTTTAGCTACTCCCCAATCAATGAGCATTTACTTTGTCCCCAGGAACTACCACAAAAAGTGCTGCTATGAATGTTTTGGTATATGTGAAAGCTCTCTTTTTAACATTAACCCCAACAGAACCTCTGTATCAAAGAGTATGGACGCTTCAGTCACTTTATTTATATAATTCCAAATTTCTTTTCAGAACAGTTGGATCAGCTACATAGCTCCATGCACAGTGTATTAGTGTGACCATCTTTCCACACTCACTCACACTGGCTTTTCCTCCCTTTTGTCATTTTGGCTAATTTGCTAGGTGTGAAGTAAAACTCTGTTATTTTGATTTCCATTTCTCTTATTATTAGTGATCTGGAGTATTCTTTCATAAAGTTGTTAACAGAGTACATTTATCCTTTGATCCATTATTTATGGGAATGGCTTTTGATCTTATATCCTTCTGATGAGAGAGGCAGTGGGTCATAATGGACAGAGTCCTCTACTTGGCTGCCAAAGTGCCTTGCTTGTAAAAGGCAGGTCTGACCTCCTGTTCAATAAAAACCAGTAGACCTCCTTTACTCTCAGGACCAAATATAAAGTTCTCTGACACTTCAAGACTTCACAAGTGGTGCTACACTGGTGTACACCACCATCTCCAACTCCATGCCTTTGCACTGGCTGTCCCCTATGCCTACAATGTTCTTCTTCTAGCCTTTTAGATGTCCTGGCTTCCTTCAAGTCTTAGTCCAAATCCTACCCCCTGCAGAAGGCTTTTCCAGGTGCCCTCTCCCTTCCCCCAAGGTCCTTCCTCAGAGATTATCTTTGACTTACTCTGTATCTTATATATCCATAGTTATTTATATCTGATTATGAACTTTGGAGAGGGACAGTGTTTTTACCTTTCTTTGTATCCCCAGTGCTTAGCACAGTGCCTGGCCCACATTAGGTGCTTCTGATAAATGTTTGTTGACTATGGAAGTTCTTGATACCAATGAAATCAAATGTCTAGTCCCTATCCAATCCCTATCCTTGATTCTGTTAGTTGTTGACATATTTTTGTTTTCATCTTATCATTTCTAGAGAGATAACATTTATTAAGTTCTTACAATGTGCCAGAAATTCTGCTAAGCATCAAGGATGTAAATTTGTTGTTCGTTTGCTCAGTCATGTCCAACTCTTCGTGAACACTATGAACCATTGCACTCCAGGCCCAGAATCAGTCTTCTCCAATGAGTCTTGTCTTCTCATTAAGTGGCCAAAGTATTTAAGCTTCAGCTTCACTATTTGTCCTTCTAATGAGCAGTCTGAATTAATTTCTTTAAGTATTGACTGATTTGATCTCCTTGCTGTCCAAGGGACTCTCAAAAGTCTTGTCCAGCACCATGTTTTGGAAGTGTTGATTCTGAAGTATTCAGTTTTCCTTATGGTCCAACTCTCACAGCTATACATTACTACTAGAAAAACTAAAGCATTGATGATACAGACCCTTCATCAACAAGGCGATGCCTCTGCTTTTCAGCATGCCATCTAGATTTGCCATAGCTTTCCTTCCAAGGAGAAAGTGTCTTTTAATTTCATGGCTGCAGTGAAATTTGAGCCCGCTTTCATTTCTTCTCCTTCTATTTGCCAGGGAGTGATAGGACCAGTTTCTATGACTTCAATTTTTGTTTCTTTCTTTCTTTGATGTTTAGCTTCAAGCCAGTTTTTAAGCAAGCAAAACAATCACAGCCCTCAAGAAGCTTACATTTTAACATGGGAAGACAATAAATAAATGGAGGTTGGGGAAGGGATGGCAAAAGATCTTCCTAAAGTGTGGGTAGAGGCCAGGAGCCAAGCAAGATAAGTCCCAAACTGGTCTACCACACCTAGCATAGCATTGGGGGGGTAGAATTCCATTCTCAGGTAGGGAGGCAGTCAAGATGATGGCCAGAGTGGTATGCAGACATCCTGGCTGTAGTCTTATTGTTTTCCACTTTGCTAATTTCTTCTCTAACTTTTCCAAGCATTCTTCTTATTTCTTCTATTTATCTTCTTTTATTCTTCTTAATTTCTTAACCGAGACTTTTAAAAACTATATACTATCCCAAAGAGATCAAAAAACGGGAAAAGGACCCACATGTACAAAAATATTTGTAGCAGCTCTTTTTGTGGTGGTAAAGAATTGAAAATTGAGGGAATGCTCATCAATTGGGGAATGGCTGAATAAGTTGTGGTATATGAATGTAATGGAATACTATTGTGCTATAAGAAATGATGAGCAGGCAGACTTCAGAAAAACCTGGAAAGACTTGTATGGACTGATGCTGAGTGAAGTGAGCAGAACCAGAACGTTGTACACAGCAACAGCCACGTTGTGCGATGACTAACATTGATAGACTTAGCCCTTCTCAGCAATGTAAGGATCTAAGACATCTCCAAAGGTCTCATGATGGAAAATGCTACCCACATCCAAAAAAAAACTATGGAGTTTGAATGCAGATCGAAGCATAGTATCTATTTTTTTCTTCTGTTTTGCTTTCTCTTTCTTATGGTTCCTCCTATTGGTTCTAATTCTTACTTACAATATCACTAATATGAAAATATGTTTAATAGGAATGTATATGTAGAGCCTATATCAGACTGTGCACTGTCTTGGGGAGGAGGGTGGAGAAAAATGTAAAACTCCAAAGCTTATGGAAGTGATTGTTGATAAATTAAAATAAATTAATAAAAAAAATTGTATACTAGTTCATTAATCCTCCTTTTCTGTTTTGTTAATGAATGTTTTCAGAAAAATAATTTTTTCCTCCGAAGACAACCACTTCACATCTTAGTAGATGCTGCAGTCAAAATAAAAGGCCTGAATGGTAACTAACCTTCAGCTGAAAAACCTCTCTAAATTTCTCTACATTGGCCTCATCCTATGGTCACTGGATTTAGATGCCTTTCTAGCTGGTTAGAACTCTGAAGGCAAGTCCTTTAAGGACCCAGGGTCACTGCTCTATCCCATGAGGGATCAGAAGAGGCTTCAGTCCAAGCCAAATATCTGTTTTGGGGTTGGTGGGTTTTTTTGGAAATGTACTTGAATCTATTAAGTACTTCTATGTAAAACCAAAATTCAAAGACACAAAATAGCAGCTAGATGCACAAAACAAATATTATATTCAGTAGACTCATTCTGCCCTTTAAATTACAAAAGTAAACATCTGGCAAATTTTATAATCCAATCATGTCCTCCCCCCCCTTACATTCTATAGGCTTCGACATTCTAAGTTAAAAAAATGCGCAGATTCCATTTAGCTCTAAGTCTATGATCCTAAAACCAGACAATATTCATAAGTTAAAAGGCCAAAAGGCGCTGGACTCATATTATTCACGTAACAGTAAAGAGAACTTGGAAGTAATTGCAAATGGATGTCAGTAAAGTACTTTATGTAAAAATGTCTGACTCGTCATAAAACTGTGTAAGTAACTAGTACATGCAACGTTGCTATAGATGGTTTCACTGTAGTATGTTCCTGTGAATTGATTATACTTGCAAATTATACTTGCAAACTAAGAAATATAAGTCTATACAAATTAATTTTTTTTTCAAGCGTAGTCATAATAAGACTTTAACAACTCAGGATTTCCTTAGGTGAAATAACCTAATTTTGGATTCGATTAAAAAATTCTAAACTTCTGCAAAATGGGTATTACACAAGACTTTGAAATACGGCTGTTACAATAACACAGGACATTGCTAGATGATGAAATCTTTGGATTGGAATCAAATTTTATTTCCCATGATGGGTAAAAGAAGCATTATTGACATTATGATACTAATTTTAACTTTAGATAACAACTCAGAAAGTATCATAAATATAAGCATGAATATCCTCTACAACTTTCTAGCTAGAGGCAAGGGTTAAAAATACAAAAATAACAGATGGAATATCTTTCAAAAATATATTTTAATCATCTAACAAAGTCATATTCTTATGACTCAGAGTGGAATGAAAGTGATTCAGGGCTCTCCTAGGACATGCAAGCTCTATTAGGTCACACCAAGTTAGAAAGGCTTTTGAGCATGGGCCCAGGAATATGTCAATGGATAAGCCTAGTTAAGTTTGGACAAACTAATCATTCAAAGGCTGGCTATCAGTTGATGACTTTTTTGGACATGGGCACTCACAAAGACCATGTTCTAGGGGAGTGGTGTCAAACTCAAATAGAAAAAAGGACCACTAAAACACCCATAATGATCTCTGTAGGCGACATATTGACTTTAAGAAGCACATATTAACATTATCTATGCTGTATTGCACTTTTATTTATTTTGTTAAATATTTCCCAATTATATTTAATTGTCATTCAGACTGCACTCAGGACAGCTACAGGCCTCATGGGTCCCACACAGACAATGACTGTGTTCTAACGTACTGAGGGGTTATGTTCTGCATCAGGGGAGGGGATACCTATAAGAGGGAAATCACATATCCTTGAAGCACTGGAGTATGATGAACCATAAAGCAATTCACACACTCTCTCACACACATACACACAATGACTTGTCTCACAACTTTGTGAATATATGATACAAGTATTATTATCTCCATTTGAAAGATGTGGAAATTGAATCTCAGGGAATTTAAGTGACTTGCTCAAGGCAACATAGAGACTCAAACCTGAGCTTATAGCAGTGGAATCGTGAGATCAGATCTTTATAAATGATACACAGGATGAGAGATGCCAGGTATGAGACCATGGCCAAGCCACTTAAGCTCCATGACTTTCATTCTGTCATCTCTAACAGAAGGATAATATCTGGAGAACCTGCTTCAAAGGTTATTTTGAAGCCCAGATGAGATAATAAATGTAAAATGTTTTGCATCCTTTAAAATACTATTAAAATGTCCTATATTACTGGCGAACCTTAAGCTCATACAAAACCCACCCAAGAATAAGAAGAGAAAATTTCTACCTGCTTATTTTTGGCTGGCTTGAAACAATCTGGGCATGAAGTGCTCCTAAAACAAAATAAAATTAATTTCAAGCATTATCGTCTGTACTTTTAGATAATAAAAATCAAGTACATTTTATATCATTTGGCTGTTGACTTCAGGATATTAGGAGGAAGCAAATACTGTAATGACAATGATAACAGTTCACATTTATCCACATTACTCTCATTTATGCAAAGCACTTTCAAGTTTACATAGTTCTTTCCTCAAAGTCCTGTGCAGTAAATAAAGTAAGCATTATCACCCTCATTTTACAGTTGAGGAAAATGAGGCTGAGAGAGATTACATGCTTGCCCATGACCACAAAGCTGTTAAGTGAGAGAGCTAAATTTTAAACCAGATTGTTCCAATTTAAAGTCCAGGAATTTTCCACTAAACTGTGCCACGCCTCTGCTAACCAATTTTGTCAGTTCTCCCTGGTCCACACACTAGGAAGATTAAATTTACATTTAAATTTATACTTTAATAAGCATTTGAATATGGGAAGGCAGCACGGTCTAGTCGTAGGGAAGAGCACTGCACTAGCAGTTAGAAGTGAGGTAGGTGCTATTATTATCCTTGTTTTAAAGATGAGGAAACCAAGGCTGAGAGAGGTTAAGTGATTGGCCCAGAGTAACTGTAGTATATGTCTGTGCAGGACTTGAACTCAGATCTTCTTGTCTCTCAGCAGAGCATTCTCTCTACTTTACCACCTAACTAAACTAGCAGTTAGAAGATCTGGGTTCCATTCCTGGCTTTCCCACTTACTAGTCATGTGATCCAAAGTAAGTTACAACCTTTTTGAGTTTTTTTTGTTTGTTTGTTTGTTTGCTAGGCAATGGGATTAAGTGACTTCCCCAGGGTCACACAGCTAGTGAGTATCATTTATCTGAAGCTGGATTTGAATTCAGTCCCTCCTGACTACAGGGCTGGTGTTCCATCCACTGCGCCCCCTACCTGCCCCTTTTTGAGTTTTTTTCCATCTATAAAATAAGGATAATATTTGTACCTTGCCTAGCTAGGTAGAACAGTGGATATACAGCACTGGCCCTGGAGTCAGAAAGCCCCAACTTCCAATCAGACCCCAGACATTTACTAGCTGTGTGACCCTGGGTAGGCCACAACTTCTTGGCTTCAATTTCCTTATCTATAAAATGCGGATTATAATACCATCTGCCTCCCAGGATTGTTAGTGAGGATAAAATGATATAGTATTTGTAAAGCACTTTTCAGATTTTGCACATAGCTGTTTGTAACCTGTCTCCCCCATTAGACTGCGAGTTCCCTGAGAACAGGGTTGGGGTTTTTTTGTCCTCCTTTGTATCCCCAGTGCTTAGCACAGTGCCTGGTACATAGTAGGTGCTTAATAAAGGTTTAATTAATGTCATGTATTGAACCTAGAGAAATAGCACTGGACTAGAAATAATTTCTAATAAAATAATTTATCTCTCATGAATTTCAAATTTACCATTTTGTAAGATGAAGATGGTCGGAACTTTTTTAAGAAAGTAAAATAAGAAAATCTTTGAGCTGAAAGGTCCTTTGTAAACATAATGTAAGATCATAGCATTTTAAATTTGAAAAGGACCTCTGCCGTCATCTTATGTTACATAAAATAAAAGCAACGGTAGGTGGCTAAAAAATATCTTCTAAGAATATCGTCTCTGATCATTACCTATGAAATTAAGATGTGAAAAAGCAGGAAAAGGAAAGAAATGAGCCACTAAATTTATCTTCATGAAAACTAAAGAACACGAACAATGTTATACAATTATAAAGATTACTATCATGTTTACACAGCAACTTACAGGAAGTGGCAATCCTCATCTGTTTCAGGGTGAGCAAAGATCACACTTACTTCAAACAAGCTCTAAATCATAAAAATAGTTTTGAAATTAGCAAAGGGAAACTAACATCTCAAAACTTGTGAATGAAAACATAAATTAAACTCTCAAAGACTGGCTCACAAAAAAAAAAGTTAAAAAGAAAACTGGAAATGATTCTATAATCGATTTGCTCAGAGGCCACTTTTACAAAACACTGCTTCAAATATATCTTGCTAAAACTTACAGAGACCAGTGTGCCCTAACAAAATTAAAGACCAGGGTTTGCATTACATAACATAGTTTTTGTAATACATACATAGGAGATATGTGTGAAAACAGGATGGGAATTTGGGGGAATGATACAGTGAAAATAAGTTTATAAGATCTGTGCCTTTCAACCTTAAAATTACGACTGTCTAACACAACACTTTAATCTAGTACCCAACTTGGGGGAAGGATGCACGCGCGTGTGTGTGCATGCACTGCTGGATTCTATTTTCACTTTGCCCTTTGGTTCTGAGAGATCTGGATATTTTAATGATTTCTTGAAATATGATGTCTAAGCTCTTTCTGTGTTCATGGGTTTCAGGTAGTCCAATGATTCTTAAATTATCTCTCCTCAATCAGTACTCCAGGTTAGTTATTTTTCCTATGAAATATTTCAATTTTCTTTTAATTTTTTGCCTTTATTTAAATATTTCTTGTTGCCTCATGACATCACTGGCTTCTATTTGGTCCTAGAATGAAAGTTTGCTGCTTGGGTAAAATTTTTTATCTCATAGGCTAAGCTGTTAATTCACTTTACAATTCTTTCTCCACTACTCATTTCTTTCCCAATTTTTCCCTCAAGTACTCTCATTTCATTTATGAAAACATTTTTTAAACTCTAGCTTCAGCTCTTCCAGGAATTCTAATTAAAATTGTGCTCAAGCTGTTTTTCTGAGGCTTTGTTTGCTGAAGCAGGCTGGGGACCTGCAAGTTTTCAGTGTTCCCAAAGTGGTCTGATCCAGGGCAAAGTCTGATTGCTGCCTCTTTGGTATGAGTTCTGCAAGTTTCTGACCTGGGTTTGGGTATGAATAACAGTAAGAAGATATTGGACTCAGCCTCTATCAGCCACTAGGTAGTTCTGCTGGTTCAGTGACAAGACTGTTAGTCTCCTTGTGAGATGGGATTTTTGCCCCAGTTATTCTTATGCAGACTAGGCTGGATGCTGGAAATGACAACCCACCTTGCTCCTAGGGTTTGAGCCAAACCACTGCTGCTTGCTTCTGAACTTCCTTCTTTCTCAGTATGCTGCCCAAGGCATCCTTGTGCAGGGATCCCCTTCTCAGTCTACTCTGGACCTCTCCAGAACTGAGGAACAGGCAACAAAGCTGCTAGTTTGCATCTGTCCCCACTGAAATGCTCCAGGATGGATCTGGAACCTCCTCTTGCCCAGGTATACAGCTTCTTCCTGAGGGCTACAGTACTCATCACGTGGCATGCTCCTGCCCCGAAACAGTAACTGGCATCTGCAGAACTCTCTATCTCCCCCTATGCTAACTTGGTTCTGCAAAGGACTCAATGACTCTCTATATTTCCCCACTGAGATTTGGTCTCATGCATCTGCTAGATCTATATGGAGGAGCTGTAGAAGGGTACACAGCTATATTACTTCCCACTACTCTGCCATCTTGGCTCCACCACACAATTTACTGTTAAGTAAATCTTGCATTCTTTACATTCATTACTAGATTGTAAGACTACAAATCAGGAACTCCTGAAATCTTAAGAATAACTCTTCAATAGGTTCGTCTGTGTGACATCTCCTTTCTACCTATTAATAAAAAAAAAATGAAGCAAAAAATGATTATAAATATTCCTTATATCAAGAGAAACAATAATCCATGTGAATATGTGAGTAATGTTTTTCTCATATCTTTTTTCCTCAGGTAAAGTTATCAGCGCACCAAAAGTGTACGCATAGAAGCAATAACTTTCTTTCCTGGTCTGGACCAGTGACATTTAAGATACTCATAGAATGGAACTCCCTCAGCTGAAGCAGACTGACAACTCATCTATATCTTACAGTCTTAGAGAGTTCCTGGGGCATGGAGAAGTTGTATGACTTAAGCAATTTGTGTTACAGACAGAAGAGGACTCTGACTCCAAGGCCAACGTCCAAACAATATGCCACAGTTTTTCTTTCATAAAGGAGTATGGGTTTTCAGTCAGAGTTCCCGTCCTAGCGCCAGTACTTACTGGATGTGGAACTCTGGGAAAGTTCAGGTGCCTCAGTGTCCTCAAGTTTAAAATTGTGATAATACTTGTACTACACCTCATTGATAGGACTGTTACTAGAAAATGCTTTTTTAAAACAACTATATAAACATTAGTTATCATCATCTTACTTCATTTCTTCATTTATATTAGAATCAGTCTTCAGTTACAATGTAGTGAAATTATAATCGGTTAGCTACATAATTTTCCACTACAGTCCTACTCTGATACCTCAGCCAGAGAGGGGATATTAAGATTATGATAAATCTCCTTTGTTTTTCTATTTTTCTTTTCTTTGACCAGGAGCAAGTAATGTCACTTAATAAGTACTGACTACAGACATTGATTCAATCAGTAGTTATTTATTAAATAGGCAGTAAGCTATGTCAACAGTCCCTACTGTTCAGTCTAGTAAAATGTGAAAAAAAGATAACATATGTATAAATGATAATTTAACATATGGTGGCTCTTTTTCACCTTCTATTAAACATTCTTGCTACTGTTAATGAGTACAGTGGGCCTACAAAATTAAATGTACTACATTTAAAGTCAGGTGGTAAAAAGAATAAACTGATTGAATGTGTTGCTGACTTGGTTCTAAATTCTGAAAGCATAAAGGCAATGAACTTGGAAAAAATAACTAAATCAGAAACTCACATCAATGGTGAGAGTTTAGATAAGCACCTGAGTATACTACAAGAGAGTACTTGTATAGGAAATATGAATACCGAATCTAAAAGTCCGAGAACTTTGAATAATAAGGGTAATGGGGCAAAATGCACTTCTGCAAGGGTGATATTGCTAGGGTGTACTAACAAGTGACAAAACCAGCTAGTTTCTCACCTGTTTGTTGAAGTGGAGAGATGAAGATCTCCTTACTATCCTGCCCTACTGTCTATATTTACAACTAATATAAGCTTCAGTGCTCTATAGTGGGGATTTCTTAAACTGGGGTTGTCTATGAACTTAGCTCATATTTTGGTAACTGTACTTCAATATAACTGGTTTCTTTTGTAATCCTATGTACTTTGAAATACTATTTTAAGAAGGGGTCCATAAACTTATACCAGACTTCCTAAGGGGTCCAGGACACTAAAAACATTAGATCCTTTGCTCTATACCAGGCCTGTACAACTTTCAGCCCGTGGGTCACTGATAGCCCACGTGCCACTTGCAGCCTGCGAAAGGATTTCAGGCAGCCCACAAAAAATGTAGAAGATATAAAACAGCCCTGCACAACATACCACCCACAGGCTGCTCTGGCAGGCCGCAAGCAGACCGTGGGTCGTTATGTTGTACAGGCCTGCTCTATATTAAAGTTAGCTTCAAAGTTATTTACTATAGAACCATTACACTATTACTTATAATTTCATAAAGAGATATATCATGTATCAGATCACAGACTAACCAATAAAAGTCAGGGCAAACCTATACAACCTTTTTCCAACACTAACTGTATAAGGCAGCTAGATGGAAATGCAGAGAGCACTGAATCTGAAGCTGGGATGACCTGAGTTCAAATTGAATCTCAGACACTTACTAAATATACGACCCTGGGTAAGCTGCTTACCCTGTCTGCCTCAGTTTCCTCATTGGCAAAATAGAAGCTGTTGTGAGGATGACATGAGATCATCTTCATTAAAGTGAGGGTTGTTAGAAAACACCCTAGAGAACTCTGCACTTAATACCTGACAGAACGAAAGTTCAGTCCCACAACCAAAGCAGATCAGCTCTAGCAAATGTAGAGAACTAACATAGATCTTTGTGGAGCTCTTGGGCAGCATCAGTACAGCTCTATTATCCAAGGGTGATGTCTAGAGGATATCATGTGCATTAGTAAACACCAGGAATGGGAAATGGAGTCCTCCTCTTGGCTCAGTCACCCAAGGGGTTAAAAAAAGAAAGAAAAGCAAAGAAAACAAAAAATCTCAAGACTGACTGGAGTCACCTGTAGCTTCATCCCTTGAGAGGGAAGCAGGAAGAGGGCTTTTCTTACCTCAGGGAGTCATCCCCTATACACACTTCCTTCCAGATTCATACATTATTCTTAGCTGGGTACTCAGAAGGACCTCGGGAGTCCCAGAGTTGAAAAAGAAGCAGACCACTGGACCACAGACTGTTCTGTGCTTTTTGAGCCGCCTAAGGGACAAGTGCAGCGCAGCAACCCTCTACCTACTGGAAGATGGGCTGCAGCTGCCCCACCCAGGAACAGACTCCTGTTTGTGAACCTCAGCCACTAGGGGGTTGTAGAAGTCCTTGATGATCCCATGGGCATAATCTCAGGGTTCAGGACCAGGACTGCTGAGATGAGGAAGAAGACTCTTGAAGGCAGTGCTAGTCAATGGTTCCTCCCCTTCTATACAGATGGTACACTTGGCCCCAGCAAGGTAAATCAGCAGGCTACCAGGGCCACAAGCAGAGTTATAACAGTGAGGGCTCTCTCTGTGTGCAAGTCATGAGGCAGGGCCAGCAGAGAATCACACACCATACACTGCTTCTGGCCAGTGCTCCGGACCAAACATGACATCCAAAAGCCTTCCCACACCACCTGGGTCACTACAATGCCATTGTCAATGAAAGCTGTGACTTTCCTCATGGGCAGGGAGAAGGACACTAGACTTCCTACCCAGCCCTGTACTGAAAACATCATGCCCAGGATCTGGAGGCCAGCAGAAGCCATGGAGGGAGGCTTACAGAAGACCTGCCTTGGAAAGGAGAGAGAGCAGCAGGGGTAGAGCATCTAATTCAATTCAATAGAGACAGTGCTAGGCATTACACAGTCTAATACCTTCACTTTATGAATGAGGAAAACAAAAAGGTGAAGAAACTGGCCCAAGGTTACACATATACTAATTGCAGACAGAATTTTAATCCAGCTCCTGATTCTACACTTACTGTTCTCCCTACTACACTCAATGCTCTCTCTAAATTACTGCATTTTCTTCTTCTGCCTTGGGTATGATAAGAAACATTCTAAAGTATTCCATGAAGGGCAGGTTCATAGAAACTCATGAAAAATAGAACTGAATGTGTGGATGAACAACCAGTAATGTTATAAACATCTCTGATGAGGAAAGTCTAAAAAAGATTTGGATGCTACATTTTAAAATTAGGAAATTAGAAAACCTTTATGTTTACCCAAGGGATTGTTTAGACAGAAGAATACTTAACTAAGAGGACCTCATGATGTTTTAAGAAGACAAGAATTGCAAAAAATGAACTCAATCAGTTAATACCTTTCCATCAACAGGAACACCTAGCTCCTCTGAGAACAAGGGATGAGTAATCCATTTGTAGGCTTCTTTAAGCTGAACAATATCATCTCTTCCTAGTGACAGGCCCTGTTTCCTAAACATCATAAAAAAAAAAGAGAGATTCAGCATGGAGTTCTTATTTTTTCTATCAAGGACCAGAAGCAAGGAACTACAAAAGAAAAAAGTCGTTATTAAATGGTTATAGCATATGTAAAATATTTTCACTAGCAACCTGAGTTTTTTCTGAATTAGAATTAGTACGTTTGCTTATCACCAGATACATAATGTTTACAGAACAGAAAGTTCTGGAAAAGTTCATGTTGTAGAGACATGAAGTGAAAAGAATTTATTGCTGCACTCCAACTCTCATGCCTCATCACGGCAGGTTCTAACAAGCTAGAAAACTCTGAATACGGGACCAAGATAGATTATGTGAGAACCAGCTGAACTAAATTTGGAGAGGCTCACAACCAGGCTGGTTAAAAGATGATCAACTATTTGGTCACAGCAACTCTCAAAATCCACCTACTGGATTACAGAAAAATTCCATTTGTGTTACTGGAGGTAACACCCATGTTAACAAAACAGCATATCCTTGAAGGAATGAGGCAAGAAGTATTAATACAATTTTGACAAATAAGCCAGTGCAATATTGGATGAAAACTGGATAACTACTTCATGGGTTCTGAAAATCCATAGTAAATATGTTAAGTTCCAACCATTCAATATCCATTTAGAAAACATCTATTAAGCAACTATTATATGCAGAACACTGTGCTAAATGTTGAGGGACATAAAAATTTTAAATGACATGGTTCCTGCTGCATGGAGCTTAGAAAAACATAATTATGATATATAATAGTACAAGATAATCACACTAGAGTCAGAAAACATTGTTGTGTGAAGCACAGGGAAGAAGGTCTTTGGGAGAGATAGGAGGGAACATCAGAGAAGACTTCATCAAGAAGTTGGGACAGCTCAGTGGTGCAGTGAATAGAGCACTGGCCCTGTAGTCAGGAGAACCAAAGTTCGAATCCGGCCTCAGACACATAACACTCACTAGCTGTGTGACTCAAGGCAAGTCACTTAACCCCAATTGCCTCACAAAAAAAAGTTGTCATATGATATATTCTTTAAAGGGAAGGGTAAAACTGAGCAGGTGAAGGGTATGACAAAGGACATTCTAGGTAAAGAGACCAGCATAAACAAAGACACAGAAAAAGAAAGTCAGAGGTCATTTAGGGAGGAGAACAGAATGACTTGGCTACATTGTAGGATACGCGGTGGAGAATACTGGAGGCTGAGAAGGTGGCATAACATGGCATGGCAACAGATTGCAGATATCCTTGAATGCTAATCAAAGGAGTTTGAAATATACAGACAGGCAATAAGGAGCTAAGCACTTTTAAGGAGTATGATTCAACCAGACCTATGAATAAGGAAGATTATTCTACTAGATAGGATGTAGGATGCATTGCATCCTAAAGAGACGCTAGGAGATTCTAACAAAAATCAAGGTAGGTGGCACTTAAGGCATTAGCAGAGTGGTGAAAGTAGGAATAAAGATAAGGAAAGAATGTCTAATTACCAAATGAAGAACTGACAGGAATTGGTAACTAAAGACAATACAGCTTCATTTATAGGAAACCGAGTAATAGTCCCACAGATAGAAATAGTGAAGTCTTATAACCAGTTTAGAAGTAAAGATAACACACACATGTCAGCGGTGTTTACATTAGCTGATATATTGGGTTAAAATGTCCTATAGGCAACTGAAGATGTTGCCCTGGAGTTCAGAAAAGAGTTAAGGGCTAAAGATAAAAATCTGGTAAGTATAGGGAAAGAATATTGAAAAAAACACAGAAGAGAAACAAGGAAAGATTCTTTGAATCCCTAGTTTTCCTTCAAAATTAGCTCAGATATCCCACCTTCCACATTAGTGCTGTCAAACAGAAAGGGATCCCTGCTGCCTGCCTATTGATTTAGAAAACCACAAATTAACATTATCTATGTTGTAATGTATCCAATTTATTTGGGTAAACGTTTCCCAATTACATTTAATCTGAGGGGGGCCATAAGTTTGACACACTGAGGGAAATAATCACATAAAGGAGTCAGAAAGATCAGAAAGCAGTGAAACTGAGAAGTAGTGATAGGTACCAGAAGAATCAGGAGAGGATGGTATTTCTTCAGTCAAAAGGAAACAGTATCAAATCAAAGGAGGTGGTCAGTTGACAGTTTTTAAATCTGCAGTCAATTAACATGCATTTATTAAGGGCTGGGGAATACAAGGAAAAAAGTGAAACAGTCTCTGCTCTCAGGAAGCTTACATTTGAACAAGGGAGAATGCATGTAGAATAATTATAAAGTTAGTACAAGGCAGTTTTGGGAAGGAAGGCACTAGCAGCTCAGGAAAATCAGGAAAGGCTTCATATAGAACAGTGTCAAACTCATGTACCTACCTACATTAAAATGTAATTGGGGAATATTTACTAATATAAATTACAACATAGAGAATGTCAATCGGAGGTTTTCTAAGTTGCTATGCAGCCAGCAAGGTTGGATCATAAGAGTATGCAGAGGTGGGTAAGGTGTACGAATAATTAATAATAAAAATACAAAAATGATAATAACTAACATTTATATAGCACTTACTACGTGCCAGATACTGTGCTAAGCATTTTACAATTATCTTATTTGATCTTCACAACAATCTGGGAGGTTGGTACTATTATCACCATCCCCATTTTATAGATGAGGAAATTGAGGAAAGCAGAGGTGAAATGACTTGCCCACGGTCACACAGCTGGTGGCTAGATTTGAATTCAGGCATTTCTGACTTCAGGCCCAGCAGTCTAAACACTACACCACCAGCTGCTTAACTGGAAAGGGAGAAAGGGGCCAGGTTGTGAAGAGCTTTAAATAGCATACAGTGCTTCTAATTGATACTAGAGGCAGCTGAGTATAAAACTAGAGTGAAAAGAACACAGGGCTAGATAGAGGACAGACTGGAGTTGGAAGAAGACGCTCAGGCGGAGACACAAAAAAAGAGTCAAGGCAAAAGATAAGGTGAGCTTGAATTAAGGTAGTGGCTGTGTGAGCAGAGAGAACGGGTCAGATGGAAAAGATGCTGCAGAGCTAGAAATGCAACGTCTAGCAACTGATCATACTTCTGGGATGAGAGAAGAGTTAAGGATAACACCAAGTTGTGAACCTCTATAACTTGAATGAGTGAATGAAGCACTTACTATGTGCAAAGCATTGGGGACACAAAGAAAAAGTATGACAGGCTCTGTTCTTAAGGAGATCAGATTCTAACAGAGGAGACAACAGTTTCAGCAGCAAGTCAGATGGAAAGGCACCATGGTCCTTGGGATGCTGTGGCAAAGAACACAGTGATGCAAATTCCTGACTTATTTTTATTGATAATAATGTTATTTTTTAAATTCTGAGCTATTTGACAGTGCCAAGGACTTTGGCAGCATCTACAGAAAGAGTAGCCAGGTCTGATCTCCACTGGGGTTTGCCTCCTGCACTGATGGCTGCAGGAACAGAGTTAGAAGCAGGACTGGTGGTCTGGGGGGCACTGCCATTTCCAGGGCTCTTGGACATACCTGTCCATTAGTAGAAGCACACTAGTGATTGATATCGGTAGTAGCAAGGAAGGTGGGCTCCTTTTCTTTCTTCCTTTTTAAAAAAAATTCAGTATTATTTTATATTTAGTTCTAAATTCTCTTCCTCCACCTCCCCATCCCCCACACACTGAGAAAGCAAAAACAAAAAAATCTATCAGAAATATGTATAATCAAGCAAAACAAATCCCAGTATTAGCCACACCCAAAAAGAGCATTAATAAACATTTTAAAATGCACAGGAAAAGTTTTTAAAGTGTAAAAGGGGTCACAAATACAAGAATGTCACTATACTGTGAAATTTAATATATACTTCTTAAAAATCTAGCTGTATATAGCGAAAGTTCTCAGCTCATTTTGATTGCAGATTATTTTGGTTTTTGGCTTTTGTTTCTCCACTTGTATCCCCAGTACCTAGTGTTGTACCTTACACATGACAGGTATTTAATACTTATTGATTGGCTTAATTCTTTCTGGTTCTTTTTTGTATATCAAAATTACTGTGATGATTAAATTCACAATATGTGATAGGTTAACTGTTACATCAAAAACCTGGAGCTAACAGGGGTGAAAAAGACTAAAGACACAGGTAAAGGTGAAAAGTAGGGATATATCTCCTGAGCAATAGCCCGGAAGAACAAAGAGAGCTCCCTGTGACTGGACTTTCAGAGAAGCAGATGATTATGTCACTTACTATCAGTATATGTAGGGTGGCATATCTACAATTTGAAAAGTGTTAAAAAGGCTTAGAATACTTACTGTGGATAATAATAGAGGGAACTGATAAAGGCAGAATACAAGTACTATTGAGCAGTAGCAAGGATTGATCTGAGCTTATGTTTCATAAATTTGTAGCAGGTGAAATTAATTTCAATTTCATTACTTTCTCCAGTGACTCTCAGTAGCCCTGGAACAGGTGAAGATAAAGCAGATACAGGTTACCTAGGGATGAAGATTCACAGGGTGGGAATAATGTAAATCAAGGATTATTAGCATGTTAACTACTGAAATAACAAAGAAGCAGATCAGAAGGGCATGACTAAGTACAGAGGCAATTGAAGAGACAGACCAGGAGAACAGGCATTGATCAAGGGACCAGAAATCACAATATAGACAAAGTATGAGTGAGTGGGCCAGAAGAAAGAACAGGCAATTATGGCTGGGAGATGGAATACTGGATATCAGAGGTAATGGAATTAGAAGAGATGGTAAAGTGTAGGATATAACCATGACAACATTTGGCTAAAGTGGGCTATGGGAGTTGAGGTCAATGAATTTTTCAGTCATAGGGTTTGTCCACACGAATATTCAAGTGCCAAAGGAAGATGACAGAGGACATAGTAGAAAGATGAGCCAGGTTGAGAATGCTAGAAAAGTGAGTGGAGTGGTTGGTGGATGAAAGCAATAAAAATAGAAAGAAGAGTAAACAAACGGCATGATTTCAAAAGAAGAAAATTTATCGTGAAATGGTGGTAAAGGATAAGTCTAGAAGTGACAGTAGGGGAACAAAGGTATACACTAGCTTCCTATTAGGTCTGAAAGTCAAAGAAGTCAGAGCAGGATGAACGTCTATTGAAGGGAACTGCAAGGAATTCATCAATAACCATTTATTAAGAGTTACCTACTGCTAGTCACTGTATGAGGTGGCTGGGATACAATGACAAAAGCCAATCACTGCCTTCAAGGAGCTCATATTCTATCAAGAGAAGCAAAGGATATACATGACATATACAAAGGTAAGTACCAATACAAGATAATTTCAGGGGGTGCTGCTAGCAAGTGAGGGGAATCAAAAAAGGCCTTATAGAGAGATGGCAACACTTGGAGAGGACCTTTGGAGGAAGAAAGATGACTCCATTAGGGAAAGCCTATGCAAAGGCATAAAATCCTGTATGAAAAAGTATTAAAACAGTTTGGCTAGACCACAGAATACATGAAGGGGAAGTAAGGTATAATAAGCCTGGAAAGGTAAGCTGAAGACAGTTTGTGAAGGGCTTTAAATACCAAACAGAAGGGTTTGTATTTGATCTAAGAGGCAACAGGAAACCACTGGAGCTTTCTGGAGAGGAGAGAGACATGGTCAGACCTGTGTTTTAGGAGAATCACTTTTTCAAAGCAAATTTCTTTCACAGAAGTTATGTCTTACACAACTTCCACACAGATTACCTTAAAAATGTGCAATGGACTGCTTGTGCCCACCATATTTCTCTGTCTATTGTCCTTTGGACACACAACTTTGAATCTTTAGAGCAGTTCGCCATTAAGTAGTTTCCCAAATGCAAATGAGCCCACTCTTTTCTGTTATTTTAATTCTGGATAGGGCCCACTGACCATTCACAATGCCTGTCTTGGATATATACGCGTGTGTGTGTGTGTGTGTGTGTGTGTGTGTGTGTGTGTGTGTGTGTGTGTGTGTAAAATATGTTAATATACTAATGAAGTGGAATGGAGAGTGAACTGAACTTCCTTGCTTATGCAAAGTCCAAATGAAACAGGGACTCCCTGTTGAGGTCCTGCTGGTGCAAATAACACTATGTAAGACTCAAAACATTACAGGGACTTCTGCAATGAGATCCATGATTTTCAAAGGAGACTGGTTTAACAATCCAATAGGAAACACCAAAAGGATAAAAAAATTTACTACAGCACTCCTATTCCTGGAAATAATCATTATAGCAATATTCTTGATAATTTTATTTTTCACATTTCAATGTTCCTTTGAGAAGAATATTAATAAATGGGAAATATATGGATTAACTTAAATGTCAAATATATTCTGAAGAATAGGAGAAACAGGTGACATACGGATGGTTTATCTTCTAGATTACTCTAAAGCATGAACAAGAAGCAGTTCTTTAAAATGTTTAAGTGGTTATTCATTACAGTTCTGAAAGAACATGGTCATACAACAAAATCTCTAATATTTCAAATAATTCTAAAGAGTCTCAATTCTTTAAGAACTGGCTACTGGATGGAGTGGAAGATGTATTCTTCCTCTCCATGTCAAGAAGCCATGGAAAAAGGTTGAGATATTTCTGATGTATTTTCTTTTGCTACAAAATAAATACTTAACAAAAATTCCAGGTTTATAAAGTTTTGAAAACTGAATCATAATTATTCTAAAGGGATTTATATGGGGACAAATCTGGTCTAAAAATTTCAATTCAACTAATTTCATTTAGATTTCTGAATTAATTTTTTAACAGTAGTGCCTCTAGATTACTTTTGCATGGAACTCCTGATACTGGGGAAGACCTTTGGCATTCTGTACCAGTCTAGTTTATAGTTCTTCAGGAGAATTCAAATCTTTTACTGCTACATTTACCTTAAACTCTTTGAAGGAGAACAACCAAATCAACATGGGGCAAATGCAAATTCAGAAACAGTCTAAAAACAGAATGTAAGGCCCTTGAGGGAAAGGCCTTTTTATTGTTTCTGTCTCTGCATGATCAGGACTCAGCACAGGACCTCTGCCCACACGAGATGCTGAATGTTTTTTAAACTGAACTTATGGCCTGAACAGGCTAAACAACATTCTCAAAGTTTAAGAACAAAGAGAAGGATCATGATTTGGACTTCTCTATGAACCATGAGTACTAATGTGCTATATAATATGTGCTATATAATAACCTGAAGTCTGTGACAAATGGCTGTACCATTTTCCAGATGAAGATATAAGGGGAAAAAAAGAGTGATTTCCCAAAAATCATTTAAATTAGATAGAACAATCTAACACCTTTCATGTAGTGGTTCTAAGTTCTTATTACTGCAGCTAACATAATGTAGATATTTAATAAAGTTTAAATAGAAAAATGGATTCTCAGATAAATAATAGTCCTGTTAATAATTCAGGTACATATTATAAAATTTGTCTTAGATGGTAATAATAAATTTGGCTGATATAAAATAAAAACTAACATAAAACCAAATAGAATAGATGTGTATTAATAATTCTGATGAAAAACTGAATAAAACAATATGTATTATTTTTAAAATACATCACCAAACTCAGTCAAAATACATTATACCTTAATACATTACTTAGTATTTGTTTCTTTTTCTTTTTTTTCTTTTTGGCTAGGCAATGGGGTTAAGGGACTTGCTCAGGGTCACACAGCTAGTAAGTGTTATTATGTGTCTGAGGCTGGATTTGAACTCAGGTCCTCCTGAATCCAGGGCCGGTGCTCTATCCACTGCGCCACCTAGCTGCCCCTCATTACTTAGTATTTGAAGTCAATACATTCCTCATCTCTACTGGTTTAAAAATTTTATGTTCTGAGACTACAAAATTTATTCATCATTACCACAAATATCAAGTAAAAAATCCTGAACTCTCTTTTTATCTTTACTTTTAAAATGACTCAAGTGAAAAATTCTTCTCATTTTGCTTTAAAAAGTCTATTAATCAGCAAATTATTTTATTATAATAAATGCTTACCATTATTATAATAAACAATTACTAACCAAAACTCCAGCAGTTATTCTAAATACACTTTCAAAAACCTAGTTAGAGCTCATATAATGGAACTAAGACTTTTTATAATTTCTAGCACATTCACAAACATACCATGAACTTTCCCAAATGATGAAAACAAAATTTCTCTTGTTAAAATATCTCATCAAACTATATTATGTAATGTGGTTGCCTACCATGTGTGCTAGCAAATCTATTAACATTCATGCTAAAGCTGCAAAGATTTAATGAGCTATCAGTATGAATGAGTATCCTTCTGCTTGGCAAAGGAACAGATTAGAGAAAGATAACACAATGAACCCAAATGATCACAAGTTTTTCTTTGCACTCAATTGCTCTAATGGCTAGTGAAGCTACCCTATAGAAGAGAAACGGAGTAAAAGCACTTAAAAAAACCAGGTAGTCTGTATTTAAAAGAATGTAAAAAATCCCTACTCAAATTACTCACCCCATTTCCTGTTTTACCAGCAACCATGCAGCATGCTGTAGGCAGTTTAGTCACACCCAGAAAGAAAAAGGAAAAGGGGAAAAAATGTTCAGTGAAAATAAGTTTCAACACCATCACTGAATACCTAAACTAATTTGCTAATAAAACTCCTCTTTTTAGAGGAGTTAGCATTTAAAAATTTAGCAGTAACCTCACTCTCCGTAAATACAAGAAAGGCATTCAAACATCACTTGGTTTGCAGTGAGTCTAGAATTAAACAGGGGGTATCCCCTATACTCCTACGGATTTCCCACTAATGTTGCATAAAAATCAATGAAATCACACATTAATTTTTAATGTATTTTCCTAATTTACAAGGGGAGTCCCAAACTAAGTTTGACCTGAAGACACAAATAATTAGCTATTCTCCTTTCCCACGAGGCAAACATTTGGGAAGTCAATTTTTTAAAAATTACATTTTTGAAAGGAATATTGAAAACTTGAGAAATCTTACTCAGTTCAGTGAAATGTCTATCCTAAACTTCACACTAAATATCATGCATTTTATATGTGTATATATTTCCTACACATGCAGACATATGAACCACATCATTAGGCATATCACTAGATTGGCAAGCAAGTAATGAATTTTTTGGCCACAGAACTCCTAAAGACCATCTACCCAAAACCAAGCAAGGTTACAATCTATGACTACATATACATATGTATGCATATAAGTAAAGTGAAACATACAGGTAAAACATTTAACTCAAATATGTATGAGCAAACTAAAGAGTCCTATGAGAGCAACCAGCTACAGATTAAAGACACTGGTCAAATGCTGAATAGTTTTATCATCTGCTGTTATTTGTTTCTTACTACTACAGATAGATCACTTGAATTTATAACCAATGTAAATACTATGTTTTACATACATTTTATTATTTGAGACACAATATGAGGTAGGCATGACAGGTATTACCCCCATTTTACAGATGAGAAAAGGTAAGATCAGACAAGTTAAGTAATTTGCTCATGGCCACAGAGCTACCAAGTATATGAGACAGGATTTGAACCTAAGAGTTTCTGGTTCCAAGACTTACCCTTTATCTACTATCCCACATTATTCATGGTACAAGGGATCAAGATTATCTCCCTTGCAGGTTCTGAAAGCTTAAATGAAAGGTACTATACATAACTAGGTGTATAGCTAGGTGGCACAGTGGATAGAGCACCAGCCCTGGAATCAAGAGGACCTGAGTTCCACTGTGGCCTCAGACACTTACTAGCTGTGTGATCCTGGGCAAGTCACTTAATCTCAATTACCCAACAAAGAGAAAGAGAGAGAGAGAGATTGAGACTGAGATTAAAGGTGCCAGCTTTGACTAGGGAAGGCAAGTTGGTGACACAGAGAGAGTTTTGGATTTGGAACTGTAGGACCTGGGCTCTGCTCTGTGTTGATCTCAGAAAGTCATTTCACTTTCCTGGGCCTCAGTTTCATCACATGTAAAAAGAGGAAGTAGAGTTCGACAAACTCTGAACTCTCCCTCAATGTGAAATCTGTGACTTTACCAAGTCTTGTCTATGACACATACAAGCTGTATAACCCAGGGCAAATAACTGCTTGGTGTCCCCAAGCAACTCTAAATTCTAGATGGGCTGCCAAGCTACTTGAGTGGAGGGAGTTTCAATGTTGAAATTTCCCTACATTGATGAAAACATAGATACAGACCAAAAACAAATAAATACCACCCTAAAAAATCCAAACTAATGTGTGAGGTTATAGCAAAATACTTAAAATCAGAATTTCAATGCCATTGTATTACTGTTCTGCCCAAAGCTTAACATGTAAGCACAACTAATGATAATGTGATAATGTAGTATATACTGATAGTGTAGACAAAACATGTATCCCTGTATCACTGGCCACTATTCAAGATCGGAAACTTATTTTGGCCTATATGTGTGATGGATGAATGTAGAAACTAAAATTGATTTCAAGAGCTGTCTCATCATGTTATCTAGTTCAGGGGAGTTTAAATTAGAGTGTGTGTACCCCAGAGAGTATGAGAAACAGAGGTAAAAAACAAACCAAATAGAAGAAAGGCTGCATTCCAGCCTTGGTGAGATTGCCAGTCCTGGGAGTGTTTGAGACACCCCCTACCATCCAGCTCATTCATTTTTGCCCAATACTAAACCATTCCACTATTGGCCCCAAAATACTGTACAAGTTCCCGACCTCTCCCCTTCTGACCAAGCATCCTATTCTCAATATGGTTATAATGTAACCATAATGTCTGTGCAGGTGCAGATAGGATAGTTCCCATGTCACCCTAAGCATATACAAACCTTGCCCCCAGAGTGCTTTGTGGCAGTCGCAGGAACCCCTTAACCAACTCTGTGCTTCAGGGAAGCACTCAGTGAATAAGAGTCTTGGCTACTCAGCTTCACTGGCAATGGGAGGGAGGGAGTACTACAGGATAAACAGGCATGGATGAGTTGTGAACTGCAGTTTTATAATTAATTTTAGAAAAATTAATGAGACTGGGGATCCATTTATTTCAATATCTGAGAAATTTACTTGCTTGGTTTCTATAAACTTACAGGAATTCATTAATTCATGAAACAAGCCACAGGAAGAATAAGATATATATTTGGGGAAAAAAGTATGAGTTGGAGACTGCCAAAGATGGTTGAGTAAGAAGAGGCAGTATAGCCCAAACCCTCCCACAACTACTCCAAAAGACTGAAGAGCACCAGACTTAGTGGAGAGTTAGATAAATCCAAGAGAAACCACAGTGGGTTATTTTTCCAGACAAGCCAGCACAAGGAAATAGCCAGAGGACTCTGGGCACTGAGGAGCGGGTCCAGTCAAGAAGTCCACGTAAAACATTCTAGTAAGCACACTGGGCTGCACTTGCAACTACATACCAATATACAACAGAGATAAGGCAGCAGCTGTGTTGCTTTGACCCTGGACCAGGGATGCAGATCCAGCACAGATGGGGCTGAAGCCTTATGCTATGCACCAAGGCAGGGAGTGTGGTTCAGGAAAAAGACACACCTCTGTCACTCTGACCCTAGAGCAGCACCTCAGCTCACAGACCAGGGCTGAGGCCTGCAGATGAGTAACTAGGACAAGGAGCATGACCCAGAGGTAATCCTGGATTTTTATAGCTCTAAACTGGCAGAGGGTTCCAAAGAGATGACAAGGGCTAGGGTCAGCGGCTGTTTACGGGAGCTCTGAGCATGATCAAGTATGCAGCTGTGTTGCCCAAACCCAAACCAGAGCCTGTAAAGCTTTTAGAACAAGACAGCAGCGATCGGGCGATGCTCTAGATTAGACTTACAAGTATGTTCAAAGTTCATGGCAACCTGGTCTGAGCTGCCCCGAGTTGCCTGAGTTGCACTCAGTACCTGTAGAAAACAACTGCAGGATTGCAAAGACAGATCAGCGCCAAAGAAGACTATAACATTTCCTTCAGAAATGTACGCAGTCTAGCACAAAGACTCAATTCAGGAAAGAAGGCTGGAAGAATGAGTCAACAAAAAAGACACCAATGATAAAAACCATTATGAAGCCAAGCAAGGATGTCTAAGACAAAAACCCAGAAGAAAAGAATAACTACACAACAATCTACAAGCAAAGCCTCAAACAAAAACACAGCTTGCCAACAAAGTTAACCAGAATTTCTGGAAAAAATGAAGAGTAGAATGATATTATAGAGGAAATGAGAGGATGGGAGGGGGGTGGGGAGAGAGAATTCTTTTTTTTGTTTTGTTTTTTGTTTGTTTTTTATATATGAGGCAATTGGGTTAAGTGACTTGCCCAGAGTCATACAGCTAATGAGTTTTATGTGTCTGAGTCCGAAGTTGAATTCAGGTCCTCCTGACTTCAGGGCCGGCAGGTAGAGAGAATTCTTGAGGAAAGATCTGGAAGGACAAATTAAAACTTACCATTACCTGTAAATGTCTGACATTCATGATTTAAGTACTCTGAAATTCCTCTTACCAAAACCTATTCTCTTTCCATATGTCAGGACCTCAAGTCTTTTAAATATAGCCTTTGCCCTCATTATGGCTTCCTATTACTCTCTACTTTCCTATTCCATTACTTGTACCTGGTCTTCACTTCTCTCCCTTAGAAATCTTGACCCTATAGTTGCTGGGCTCAATTTAACACTGTCCTCTACCTTTAAATTCCTTGCCTCCGATATTGTTGCCACTAATCCCTTTCCAAACCCTAACTTGGATAAGGTTTACTTCACTCTTAATGACATTCTAATGAATGCAGATGGAGATAATCACATAACTATGCTGACCACCTCCAACTTAGGTATGAATTGATGGTATCTAATCTCAACTAAACTCTCATTACTACACTGCAATCTTTCCTAACTGATGCTCTATCACAGTGGTGTCAAAATCAAATAGAAATGGGAGCCACTAATTTATACATAAAGAACCATACAACCCACACATTGAGTTTTAAAGTGTAATGTTATCTATGTTGTATTTTTATTTATTTTGCTAAATATTTTTTCAATGACATTTTAATCTGTTTTGGGCCACACATAATCATCTGACACCTCTGCTCTCACATTCCCCATAGCAGTTGTTCTAAACCTTCTTTTATTAACCTTTATTAACTGTGCCTCCTCCTTAGCAAAGAATCTCACTTTACACTTTATTGACAAAGCAAACATCATCCACTATGAGCTCCTTCTTCTCACCAATTCTACACCTCAAATCCCCTAAATAGCACCACTTGTTCTCTCTTCCTTTGCTCCATTTTGGAAAATGGCTTCCCTATGTCAAAGCTAACCTCTCTGCTTGTGCCCTTGCCTAAATTTTTTCCAATCACCTCTGGGAGTCTGTCCCTTGATTTATATTACCTGTCTCAGATCTTTAATTTGTCTTCACCCACCAGGTCTTTCCCTTCTACCTACAAACATATTCAGACTCCTGCCATCCTAAAAAATCTTTACTTAAGGAACTACCAAATGGGGAACTACCCTGATCCAGATGGACTTACAGGTAAATTCTATTTAATATT